GTCCTGTTTTGAGCAGGGGGTTGGACTAGATGATCTCCTGAGGTCCCTTCCAACCCTGATATTCTATGATTCTATGATTCTATGATTACTTCTAGCTATTAGAGAGACAAGGTGGGTCAGGTAATATCTTTTATTGGACCAATTTCTGTAAGTGAGAGAGAAGTTGGGCCAATAAAAGCTATTACCTCACCTATCTTGTCTCTCTAATATCCTGGGACCAACATGGCTACAACTACACTGCATAATTCTAGCTATATGTAGGCAGGTTTCTTCTGGTTAGTTTCTGACACACTGATTTTCTTCAACTAACTCCCTCTCTCTTGCTGTGTATGTATTAACAGATATTTATACACACCAAATATGAACTGGTGATATCCATGTAATACGTTTATCATACACCTCTATGAAACCATCTGCACTCCAGCCTGATAATCTATCTCTTCCATTACTACTACTGACATGCTAGGCCTCTTAGTAGCTTCACATCATTCCCATTAAAAAATAAAATAAAAAAAATCACCAGAAAATGGATTCTCCTATTCCTCTCATGTGTAATTCCCCATCCAAATAACACTTGTCTATGGTGCTGGATGCTGTAAAACAAGAATTGGATTTAAGCTCTGATATCTTGCAACATCTATGTACCATTGTAAAGGGAAGATTCATACTGTTTCTTCTAACCTGGCAAGGTTCTATGATATTGGACGTTAAAATCACAACATTATTGTGCACAGAAAAGCTACTTAAATCATATTTGGAGTTTTCTAAAACGTGTTCGTGTGGAGAATAAGGGAAATATCTGTATTTTTTTATAAATATCATGTACACCTCAATTCACCTGGCTGATATTATGCTGCCTGACTGCATAGAGTTAAACCAAAGGAGGTGGCTAAGGGGAAACAAACAGGAAACAAAACAATGGAAAAGATTAGGTTCAGTGAGAGAATACTAATGGTCTTTGATGAAACAGTGGGGAAGCTATTGATTGGGGGATAACCCCAGCCTGACTCCAGAGAGGCTGGCAACAGTTTATTTTTCCAGGACTCAAATCTAGGATCAATGGGTACTAAAGCCTTGAAGATCCTGGGTTAGAAGGAAAGGATTGGGGGGAGTGAGCAGCAGGGACTGAAATGCTTACAGAGAAAGAGAGAGAGTGCATACTGCAGCAGGGCATCCTGCTTTTCCCAGCTAGAAACTGGAGTAGCTGGGCTGAAGGGAACTTATAGAAGCCTGCAAGGAAGGATTAGTGTATATGCTGTTTTCCCGCTTTGCTCTGTGTGCTATATATCTTTGGGTGAAAAAATAAATAATGCTTTGTTTTGAAGTTAGAGTTAGGAGAAGCTGCTTTTTGAGTCATTTTAATCAGCTGCTGTCACAGGCTACTGGGGTAAGGCCTGGCCTTACAGAGTTAGGTCGACGTAATTACTCATAAGCGTAACTCTGTAAGGGTATACAGTAAAATGTAGCTCCCACTGATGTAAGTCACCCACTACATTGACTAAGGCTATGTCTACACTATGGACGTTAAGGCAGCACAGCTGTACCACTACAGCTATGCCACTGTAAGGTCTCTTGTGTTGCCAGTCTTTGCCGGCAGGAGAGAGCTCTCTTGCTGGCATAATTAAACCATCCCTGCTGACATAGCGCTGTCCGCACCAGCACTTTTGTTGGTGAAACTTATGTCGGTCAGGGGTGTGTTTTTTCACACAAGTGGGGAGCTGCCAGACTGAGATCCAGTCTCAGGGTATGTCTACACTGCAGTATGTACCCAAGTATGTACCTACAATCCTGGGCAGGATTGTACTTGGGTGGCTAGCCCATGTTGCTGCAGCTACACTGCTATTTTTAACGAGTTAGCTTGGTAGGCCTGCATGGGCTGCAATTGCACCTCCCAGTTGCTGTGTAGACATACCTCCAGAGTGGTTGAACCATGTGGCCCCACCCACCACAGAGAGAGAAGAAGCCAGGCCTGTCAGCAGAAGGGTCCACTCAAGGAGGACAAAATGGAATCTAAAGCATAGCTTGCCCTGTGATTGTGACAATTAGTTATAAACTTTCCCACTCTCTCAAAATCTTATACAGTTGGATTTATGATTAGGACCCTACCAAATTCACAGCCATGAAAAACACATCACGGACCATGAAATCTGGTCTTTTGTGTGCTTTTACCCTATACAATACAGATTTCAGTACAGACCAGCATTTCTCAAATTGGGGGTCCTGATCCAAAAGGGAGTTGCAGAGGGGTCACAAGGTTATTTTAGGGGGGGGGGTCGCAGTATTGCCAGCCTCACTTCTTTGCTGCTTTCAGAACTGGGCAGCCCGAGAGCGGCAGCTGTTGGCCGGGCACCCAGCTCTGAAGGCAGCGCCCTGCCAGCAGCAGCACAGAAGTAAGACTGGGAATACCATACCATGCCACCCTTACTTCTGCACTGCTGCCTTCAGAGCTGGGTGGCCAGAGAGTGGCAGCTGCTGACTGAGGGGCCCGCTCTGCAGGCATCAGTGCAGAAGTAAGGGTGACAATACCATACCAGGCCATCCTTACCTCTGTGCAGCTCTGCCTTCAGAGCTGGGCTCCTAGCCAGCAGCTGCCGCTCTCCAGCTGCCCAGCTCTGAAGGTAACACCACCATCAGCAGCAGTGCAGAAGTAAGGGTTGCAGTACTGTAATCCCTGCTACAATAACCTTGTGCCCCCACCCCCCACTCCTTTTTCGGTCAGGACCCTTATAATTACAACAGCATGAAATTTCAGATTTAAATAGCTGAAATCATGAAATTTACAATTTTTAAAATCCTATGACCCTGAAATTGACTGTGAATTTGGTAGGGCCCTATTTATGATATTATAGCATCTTGGTGAAAGCAAATGGTGAGAGTAAAAAAATAAAACAATAGCATTTTGTAAAACAATGAAATTTTCATAAAAATAGCTTTTCTGTAAATACATCACATAACCAAACTTCCCGATGGTGTAGTGTGACAGAAAAACTTAACTGGCCCTTTTTTAGGATTACATGCATAACTGATTTGTGGCGTTGCCACTTGGAAACAGCAGCTATCCACACAAGTGATGTACTAGTACTTATCTGAAGTTTCTGTCTTGTTCTCCTGAACCTTAGCTTACATTCAAAAAACAAAAGTATATCTCTCGTTATTATGGTTGTGAGAAGAATCTGAAATGTGAACCAAGTTTCTTGATACATTTGGATAAAGAACACTGAGATAATTCAAATATGCCAGACTTCCATTTCACCTTGACCTTTGTGCTTTTTCCCTCCCTCTTCCCATCCTGCCTCCTCATTTCCGCCTTCCTTTTTTTGCCTATTTGTGTATGTCTTTATTATTGTTACCCCTCCACTGAAACACATTATGTCTGTGCAATATTGTCTGACTTTATTTTGCCCAGTCTTGCAGCTTTTCATGATTGCATAAATTGATTGGCTATCCTGTGACCTGTATGGTATTTGGTACCACACACAAGCTGTACATTGTTTACCATTTTGTATTTTTAAATAATTCTTTATGAACATTAATAAAATATTAATCACACACACAAGCCAATCCTGGGAAACCTGGACAGGTGGCTACATATCCTGCTTGTTCCATGTAGGGATTAATCCCCATCTTGTTGCTGTAGTGGGGTGGGGGTGTGACACCTGTTGTAGGGGAGATGAGTGAGATCTCCGCATCTATTTAGGGGGGTCACATGCCCTGGTTGCTCTATAGCAGTGGTTTTCAAATCCTGGGTTGTGACCCAGAACTGGGTTGCAGCGGCTCTGGTCAGCACTGTCGACTGGGCTGTTAAAAGTCCCGTTGGCGGTGCTGCAGAGCTAAGGCAGGCTAGTCCCTACCAGTTCCAATATTGTGCTGCGCCCCGGAAGTGGCCAGCAGGTCCGGCTCCTAGGCGGGGTCCGTACGCTGGCCCCGCCCTGAGCACCGACTGTGGGGGAGGCGGTGCTGGCGGGCGAGAACAGCATGGAGCTGCTTGCATGCCTCCGCCTAGGAGCTGGACCTGCAGCTGGCTGCTTCTGGGGTGCAGCGCGCGGTCCGCGGTGCTAGGACAGGCGGGAAGCCTGCCTCTGCATCCCAGCTGTGTCGCTGACTGGGAGCCACTGGAGGTAAGCCTGCACACCAATCTCCTGCCTCAGCCCAGAGCACCCCCCAAACCCAGAAACCCATCTGCACCCCAAACCCCTCATCCCCAGCCCCACCGCAGAGCCTGCACCCCCAGCCCAGAGCCCTGACCCGCTCCCACACCCCAACCCCCTGCCCCAGCCCAGAGTGCCCTCTCACACCCTGAACCCCTCATCCCCAGCCCCACCCTAGAGCCTGTGCCCCCAGCCCAAAGCCCTGCACCCCTCCTGCACCCCAACCCCCTGCCCTAGCTCTGAGCCCCCCAAACCCAGAGCTCCTTCCTGCATCCCAAACCCCTCATCTCTAGCCCCAGCCAGAGCCTGCACCCCCAGCCCAGAGCCCTGACCCCCTTCCGCACCCCAACCCCCTATCCCAGCCCTCTCCCACACCCTGAACCCCTCATTCCCAGCCCCACCCTGCAATCCTCACCCCTGCACCCCAACCCTCTGCCCCAGCCCTGAGCCCCTCCCAAACCCTTCACCCCAGCTCCCTTGGGTCGCGGGCATCAAGTTTTCTTCAACTGGGTTGCAGAAAAAAGGTTTGAAAACTACAGGTGTATAGGGCAGGGGACACCCCCATGGCGTGGGGGAGGGGCGCCCCGGCGACCACCGCTGCGGCGGGGCATTTCTCTGCTGGGGGTGGGGCCCTCGGGGCAGTGACAGGGTCACAAAGGGGAGAGGAAGCGGCCTGGGGAGAGACGCTGTCCTGGAGCCTGGGGAAGGAGGCCGCGGCCCCACCCCTCTCGGGTGGGAAGCGCCGGGGCCGGGCGAAGCGGAGACGGTGAGTTGCGTGTCCCCCGCTCGGGCTGGCTGAGCCGCCGCCCGCGCTGCTCCTGGGACAGGCCGTCCAGGGTAAGGGGACAGCTGGCCTCGGCCTGCCGCCCGTGCCTCCCTCCCAGCCGTGCGCCGGGCTCCTGGGGACTCCGCAGGGCAGAGCGGCCGCCAGTGGTAGGCAGCGGGCCGCAGCCACGAGGAGGGACTGACAGAGAGCCCCCAGACTTCGGGGGTGCTGCAGAGAGCCCCCACGGCGGGAGAGTGCAGAGTAGGGTGACCAGATTAAACGGAGAAAATATCGGGACGCCGGGAAGCAACCAAAAAAACAAAACCCAACAACAACAACAACAACAACAAAGAAAGCGGCCGGAGTTGTCGAGCCAAAAACGCCGGAGCGGCCAAAGCCGCAATATCGGGATAAATGGCCTCCTGACCGGGCAGCGGTCGGGACGCGGGAAAAAGACCTAAAAATCGGACCTGTTCGTTTTCTATATTCAGTCATATCTGCTGACTTTAGTGTCAAAAATAAGTTTTGTTGTTTTATTTTCTGTTAGCCCATCAGCTCTGTGAACTGCTGGGCTGAGGCTACGGGATTTCTAATTGTGGATCAGGAACAGAATTGTTTATTATTATTATTATTATTTATTTAGTAATCCAATCAACAACACCTTTTCAAATTTTTGAAGGTAGCCAGACTGCCCAGATGTCAGTGAGGGTCTAATTTGGCCTGCAGAACCCTTATTACTGGTAATGGCTGCATGAGATGGAAAGAACCTATTTTGGCTCTCAGGACTTCGATAAAGTGTGTATGCATGTAGTGGTGGTTGGGAATCAGTATACTTTTAACTGGATACATTTGATATGGAGTCGTTGAAACAATAAATATGAAAGTTCAAGATGCTTTTTAAAAAAAATTTTTTTTTTCGGTATGAACCACACTTTAATGGCTAGGTACAATCATTCGTATTTGACAGAGAATCTGTCCTCCACAATGCTGAAGTTCTGTGCTCTTCTGGGGTTAAATCAGACCCTTTCAGTTTTATTTGCGTTATTTCCATTGCGTTTGTAGTCCACTAAATCTTTCTAGTTTCGGTACGTATGGGCAGCCTACCTCTTTCTTTCTTTTTCTTTTAAGACAGTATTTCTCAGATTCTTTTTAACATCTCTCCCCATCCCCCACTGGATATATAGTCTGCAGTTTTCCTGTTTGTTCTCTAATCATTGAGCTTTGCAGTACAAAGTTAATCATGTTGCTGTGATGTTGCAGTTCTGAAGTTAGGTCAGTTCAGTTATATTGGAATTTACTAGAGAAAAAACAATCATTTTGACATTGTCAACCAATAAATTTACTTAAATACACATTCTAAAAGTGGCTGTCCTGTAGTAAAAAGAAAAGGAGTACTTGTGGCACCTTAGAGACGTACTCCTTTTCTTTTTGCGAATACAGACTAACACGGCTGTTCCTCTGAAACCTGTCCTGTAGTAACATCTCTTATTCCTTCTTTTTTGTGGTCATGGATTACTGGGGTCATTTTTTCAGGCCAATGAATGGTCTGTTACTCTGTACAAAATGTCTTCTGTGGGTGTGTTATTTTCTGCTCTGATAAATTTGATGTTTGCCAAACCAGTTTAAACTTGATGTTTACTTTTTATATAAAAAGAAGTAAATAATACATAGGTCTTGATTTCCCCATTGACTAATGATTTTTTAGGTATCTCAATTTTGGCGATTTTGGGACACCTTAAAGGGGACTGATTTTTCAAGGATGGATTCTTAGTACTTTAAAATCAGTCGCCTTAATAGTATTTTCTCAGATGGGCACTACCAACTATGATAGTGATTGTTTTCTTTTTTGTTTGCTATGTGAGCACTTGTTCATAAAAAATCCATCTGAAACCACTAATTTGTTTCAAATACTCTAATGAAGAGCCATCAGATGATAATTTTTAGTTGCTCCTGACCTGGCTGGATTTGAAGTAGTGGACTAGAAACAAGTTTCCATATCCCATTAGCAATCCCCTAGCTGTATAGACTTTGGATTTAGGTTTTTGTTTTATTTTCATCCATCTCTTGGTGAAGAGACCATTATTTAATTCAGTTCTGTCAAATAGATTAAAACTTCCTTTTTCATGATATTAAAAAATGTCTTGCAAACTCCCTGTTTTTAAAAAGCTTCATCCCTGTATTTAGGTATGATAAGGAAATAATCATCTAGGGTGGGTGTGGGGAGGGATGGGAGAAGAAGAAAAATCTCAGGCTCTAAAATTGCTTAACTTTGTGTAGGGAAATACACATTTCTGGTCTTGTATCTGTAAGTACTAGATAAAGGTGTTCTGTTTGTTTATTTATTTATTTATTTATAATCTTCTAAATTATTGTGCAGGCAAGTTCTTTGCTCAGCAAAGCCTCTGCTGCCTTGGCATTAGGACACAGCTACTGAAGACAGTTTATCCTGTAAGATTCTTCAGATTTTCGACCTCTGAAGTATGTACTCCATCAGTTCGTAGATTACACTATGTGTATGTCACGCTGTATTTATTTTTGTGATGCTGCCAGTAAGTATATATTGGATTGGATGTCTACTTGGTTTAGTTCACTGAACTGATGGCAAAAATTTCATTTTTGTTAGGCAGTTTAAGATTCATCCATGTTCCGTGAGAAGGTCCACAAAGCATTATGTTTTCTTCATTTTTTGTTGCCTTAATCCCAGACATTTAATATGAAAACTGCAATAAATTATTGTTCAAATCAATCAAATGTTAAACCACACTAGCATGATGATATCCCCAGGGCATTAACTTGGGACTCGGGAGATGGGTTCAGTTCCATGCTTCCCATCTAGCATGCTGGCATTTGTCGATAACATTCTTAGGTGCATATCTCTCCCCATTGAATGTATAGGGACCCTAGATGCCTAACCCAGGCTTTGTGGATCCCACTGTTGCTCTAGCGATTTTTGTAGGTGCCTAAAACTTAGGTGTTGCAATGTTTAGTGTTGCAATGCCTAAGTCCCTTTGTGGATCTGGGCCTCCATTTCCCATCTATAAAATGAGGATAATAGTATTTCTCACAGGGGTGTTGCAGGTCCTCAGATACTATGCCAATAGGAGCTAGCTATACAGGTACCTGAGAGAGAGCTACACTTGATTAAAAAGAAAAGGAGTACTTGTGGCACCTTAGCGACTAACCAATTTATTTGAGCATGAGCTTTCGTGAGCTACAGCTCACTTCATCGGATGAAGTGAGCTGTAGCTCACGAAAGCTCATGCTCAAATAAATTGGTTAGTCTCTAAGGTGCCACAAGTACTCCTTTTCTTTTTGCGAATACAGACTAACACGACTGTTACTCTGACACTTGATTAAGTTTATTGTATACGATATATTCTTGAAGTCTCACTTAAGTTGCTTATGGAATCATGTGACACCATTTTATATCTAACTTTGTCAAAAGAAAGTGCAGTTTTTCACCATGATGGATGAGATCCTAGGGACAGTGTAATGGAACATAGTAATTGCATTACTGGATCAGTCCAGCATCCTGGTCTCAGACAGTGTCCAACACTAGATACTTCAGAAATAGGTGCAAGATCCCCCATAGTGTACAGTTTAAGAAACTTCCCCCCAAGGGGAATTTATTCTATAACTCCAAGCCAAGTTGGCTTATGCCCTAGAGCAGGATGTTTTATATGCATTATGTGTTTTATATCTTATCTAATTGTCCACACAGATGTGTAATCCTTTTTTTGAATCCTGCTAAGTTCTTGGCTTCAATAATAGTTCATGGCATTAAATTCCACAAGTTAATTATGCATTGTGTAAAAGTACTTCCTTTTATCAGTATTAAACTTTCACTTTCATTGGAAGTCTCCTTGTACTTCTATTATAAGAGAAGGTAAACCAATCATGTAATTGAAAGAGTGGCATATCGTATAAAATAGGGAAATCCTCAGCATTCTCACTAGCATCTGGACACGCTTCAGTAGTGTTTTTTTCTTCTCCCTGGAAGACAGCTCTGTTCTCTTAATCTTACCTCATTTTAATAATTTCAGTTAATTGCTTGGCCTTTTAAAAGTTGAAATAAGCAGAGCTAGAACCCAAAACTGAGCTGGGGCCCTTGATAGCCAATACAGGGTCAGAAATGCCATTTTATGACATCAGAATCAAAACTAAGATCAAGGTATATAGGGAGAGAAAGTTTTAATTATTAACAATCGAACATACAATGTTCTGTGATATGAAGGCTGTAACAGGCAGTCTTTTAGTTCTCAGTAAGATTTCAGCCAGGAGAGAAATATTTAGTACAGTTTAAGCTTACTGTAATTCAGTCATAACAATCCTGCTATTGAGTAGCCTGTTGTGGTTAGCTAATTGAAGTGATCTTAAGAGTTGATCAATACAATGAGCTGCCCACTGGACCACACAGAATCCTGATTACTAACTAGAGAGATTCAGGGCTAGACTTCTCAGTTTTTCATAGTTTAAAAAAAAAAAAAAGTAGCCTAGCATGTGAAAAAGCAAAAGGGAAGCTGCCAGAAGTGCTTATTTGAAATGGGCATGATAAAATATTCATATTATTGGGGGGTGTATTATGGCCAAACACTAATCTCCGTCTGCATTGTGCTCGTCAGTGCAGTGGTTGAGTACTCTTTTAGACACCTGCATATGCCAGTGTCACCTAGTAAAGAACCATATCTAACCAAAACTCCCTTTTAATTGCAATTTGGATATGTCCCTTGGCAAGAGTCGCACATTCACTTGCCAAGTTCTCCAAAACAGATTTGATGTCTTGTTGGGATAAATGGATTATGCTGAACTTCATCGAAATTTATACCATGTGCCTGAGATTAGAATCTGGCCCGTGCAATAAAATTATAGTGAAAGAAGTGATTTGACATCATAGGCCCTTATCCTGCAAACACTTGCAACATGGGCTTAACTTTACTAGCACAAACAGTCCAATCAACACCAGTGAGAGCTATTCACACTAATAATGTTAAGCATGTTTATGTTTGCAGGACTGGGGCCTGTTAGTATTAAATTAGGTGGAATAATTGGGCCAAAGGTGTTAACGTAACCCAGATACTATCCAACATTAAACAGTTTTAAACAAGGTTTGGGGTTTGGCATAAAAGACCTCAGCCTCCTTAGTACAGTATTATGGCAAACATACCATTACAATCTTTCTAGGATTTTATTAAAGATACAGAAAAAGACTGAAAAACAGTTAAAGCATTTGAAATGTAAAGTATTGAGTAAGGCTTTTGTTTTACAACATCCCTTGTTCCCTTTCCTTTTATTGAAGAGGTTTTTTTTTTGACAATCTCTTAGGTGGCATCAAAGATTGAAGTAACTGTCATTTTTGGGGAAAAGAGAAGAAATTAGTTGAGATAGGCAGGAGGTGCTGCTGCTGCTGCTGCTGTTAAAAGTTCAATCCGGTTTCCTAAGAGGGGAAAAAAGAATAGCAAAGAAAATGCAGCTTTTGTCTCTGATGTTGACTTTCACTTGCAAACCTCACTGCTGGAAAAAACAGGCACGCACACCGTCTTATCAGCCATTTTAGGACTCGGCAAACTCATCCCAGCATTGTGATGCGTCGGGCATTAGCATTGTGGTGCTTAGGCTTAGCTGCCTCTGTGGTCACAGGCTCACAGCAGTGTTGCAAACTATGCAGTCTTGGCTGGCTAAGCCAGGCTCATATTAGACAGAAGGAGAAAGGGGAGAGCGATAGGAAAGAAAAGAATTGCGGTACATAAGGAAAAGAGCATGTCGGGGGAGTGAAGTTTTACATCCCAGGTTGCCTTCAGGATTTAGCTGAAACTGCTGGAGGTGATGTCATCTGGCTTCCTCTCTATGGCCCAGCCTGGTTAGGAGGGATTAGGCTGAAGATGGTCATGGGTTCTAGGAGACAGTGGGGGTGGCAGCCATGATGGTGAAGCTTGCTCGACAGCCCAAAGTCCCTTTCTTGAAGGATCTCGAAAGGTAGTGATAGGTGGAATAGCCAATCCCCTCAATATTTTGTCCACCAGTTAGGCCTAGTTTCTGAGACAGAAGTTTTGGTTAACTGATTTCTGATCCCACGCTTTATGCAGGCATGATCTTAACGCAGTTGTTGAGTTCTATCATTGAGTTACTGTCTGCACTATAAAGAGTGGGCGGGGGGAATGGGTTTACCTTTTTATTCTTTGTTTGACTGTATGAAGGCCAGAAGAGTTTTTCCTGCTTTCTCTCTCTTTTGGTGTTTGTTGTTGTGTTTGTAAACTTTAAAGATACCACAGATATTGGGTCTGGTTATCCCTGGTTTTATAGGAAGGATCCTTGGAGGTCTATTATATGTGAATTTTCTTAGCCCTTAATTCAAGAGCATGTGTGTTGACTTTATAACAAAAACATTTTCTCCCCAGTGTTTGAGATACATAAGTGTTAAAAAGTTTTGAGTAGTCTGAATAAAAATACTTTCAATGAATCTTAATGACTATCGCAAACTGCTTCAAGTGCAAGGTCCATTTCTTTGACCTTGCCTTCTCTGACAAACACATCGTGCGTGCGTGCGCGCTCTCTCTCTCTCTCTCAATAATTAGGGCTGTCAAGCGATTTAAAAAAAGTAATCGCAATTAAAAAATTATTAGTGATTAATCGCACTGTTAAACAATAATAGAATACCATTTATTTAAATATTTTGGAAGTTTTCTACATTTTCAAATATATTTATTGCAATTATAACACAGAATATAAAGTGTACAGTGCTCACTTTATAATTTTTGATTACAAGTATTTGCACTGTAAAAAAACAAAATAAACTGTTTTCAATTCACCTAATACAAGTACTGCAATGCAATCTCTTTATCATGAAAGTTGAACTTACAAATGTAGAATTATGTACAAAAAATAAGTGCATTCAAAAATAAAAAAAAGTGAAACTTTAGAACCTACAAGTCCACTCAGTCCTACTTCTTGTTCAGCCAGTCGCTCAGACAAACAAGTTTGTTTACATTTGCAGAAGATAGTGCTGTCTGTTTTTTGTTCACAATGTCTCCTGAAAGTGAGAACAGGTGTTTGCATGGCACTGTTGTAGCTGGCATGGCAAGGTATCTACCTGCCAGATATGCTAAACATTCGTATGCCCCTTCATGCTTCGGCCACCAGTAAGGGGATATGCTACCATGCTGATGACACTCATTTAAAAAAAAAAAGAATGCGTTAATTAAATTTGTGACTGAACTCCTTGGGGAAGAATTGTATGTCTCTGGCTCTATTTCACTCGCATTCTGCCATATATTTCATGTTATAGCAGTCTCGGATGATGACTCAGCACACGTTGTTAATTTTAAGAACACTTTCGCTGCGGAGTTGACAAAACGCAAAGAAGATACCAATGTGAGATTTCAAAAGACAGCGATAGCTCTCAAACGAAGGTTTAAGAATCTGAAGTGCCTTACAAAATCTGAGAGGGATAAGGTGTGGAGCATGCTTTCAGAAGTCTTAAAAGAGCAACACTCTGGATAGGGGGTTGGGAAGACAGGGAGCAGTGGGGGTTGGATGGGTTGGAGGTTCTGAGGGGGGCAGATGGGGGAGGGGGCCAGGCTGTTTGGGGGTGCAGCCTTCCCTACGTGGCCCTCCATACAGTTTCACACTCCGATATGGCCCTCGGGCCAAAAAGTTTGCCCACCCCTGTGTTAGACTGAACTCAAGCGATTATCGTCCATTAAGGCTTTTATAATATGAGCAATGTTATATTATTGAACTTGTTCAGTTATGGTATCTTTGAAAGGGCGTAGGAGAGGGTTTCTCACGAAATGTTACAATGTCAAACAATATAAGACTTTGCAATTCTTAGCTAAACCCCTTTGTCTATATATTTTGATCTTGTAGACAATGGCCTTCAAGCACAAAAACGCAAAACGAATTGAAGGGCTTGATGTCAATGTATGGTAAGTGACACCTTAAAATATATGCAGAATTCTAAAAATCAACTAGTGTGTTATCTTTTCCAAATTGATTATTTATCCAGCACCACAGAAATATACAACTCTTGTTATCCCTGGTGCTGAATTGTATTCACACGTATGCCTAGAAGATAGATTCAATGGGCCAAATGTGATGGTGGTGGTGATGTGAATTAAACCAATACAAGGTCATAAGCTGTGAGTAAGTTAGAATTCTGAAGTGCAGAATGAACCAAAGTAAAACAAAAGTAATTCTCAGCAGGGGTGCTAGAACAATTTGTATAGTGGGGGTGCTGAGAACTATTGAACCAAATTGTAAACCCTGTATATGATGGAAACCACTTCCTGTCTGGGGATGCAGCAGCACCCCTAGTTCCAGCATCTGTGATTCTTAGGTATGGTGGCAACAAGGGGCTACAGATGTATAGATTAGTTTTGTTGAACAACCTAGCTTTGCTAATTTACACCCGTTTCATTTAATCATCTTGAACCTGTCGCTGTACAAATTAACCTAATATATTTTACTATATTTTTATCCAGGGCTTAAATTGGTCTCAAAGTAGCATCAGGTGTGTCATTGCCATCTAGTGGGATTTCATTAGTTTGTAACATTAACTGAGGGGTTGGGCAGATTGTTTAAATGCACTTGGTGCTCTTTCATCAATGACCATCCTGCCTCAGTCTCCTCGCAGCAATTTCAGTTGTTGATGGCTGTGTCTGTGGGTATGTCTACACTACGAAATTAGGCCGATTTTTAGAAATTGATTTTATACAGTTGATTGTGTATGTCCCCACTAAGCACATTAAGTCAGCAGAGTGCGTCCTCACTACCGTGGCTAGCATCGACTCATGGAACAGTGCACCGTGGGAAGCTATCCTACAGTTCCCGCAGTCTCCGCTGCCCATTGGAATTCTGGGTTAAGTTCCCAATGCCTGATGGGGCAAAAACATTGTCGCAGGTGGTTTTGGGTATATGTCGTCAATCTCCCCTCCCTCCCTCCGTGAAAGCAACTACAGACAATCATTTTGCACCTTTTTTCCTCGGTTACCTGTGCAGATGCTATAGCACAGCAAGCATGGAGCCCACTCAGCTCACCGCTGCTGTTGTAAGCGTTGTAAACACCTTGCGCATTATCCTTCAGTATGTGCAGAACCTGGCAAAGAGATGGCAGCACAAGGATGATTGTGAGGAGGACATGGACACACATGTTTCTGAAAGCACAGCATGTGGCAGTTGGGACATCATAGCGGCAGTGGGGCTGGTTGATACAGTGGAACGCCGATTCTGGGCACGGCAAACAAGCAGTGACTGGTGGGACCGCATAGTGTTGCAGGTATGGGATGATTCCCAGTGGCTGCAAAACTTTTGCATGTGCAAGGCCACTTTCCTGGAACTCTGTGAGTTGCTTTCCCCTGTCCTGAAGTGCAGGAATACCAAGATGAGAGCTACCCTGACAGTTGAGAAGCGAGTGGTGATAGCCCTGTGGAAGCTTGGAACGTCTGACTGCTACCGGTCAGTTGGGAATCAATTTGGAGTGGGCAAATCTACTGTGGGGACTGCTGTGATTCAAGTAGCAGAACGTCAGTGATTGCATTGGCTATCAAGGGTAGTGACTCTCAGAAATGTACAGGTCAGAGGGAAACCCATTGCAAAGCCATTCACTAACTGTGGTGGGGCGATAGACAGAACACATATCCCTGTCTTGGCACCGGACCACCTTGCCAACCAATACATAAACCACAAGGGGTACTTCTCAATGGTGCTGAAAGCACTGGTGGATCACAAGGGACGTTTCATCGACATCGACGTGGGATGGCTGGGAAAGGTGCATGACGCTCGCATCTTTAGGAACTCTGGGCTGTTTGAGCAGCTGCAAGAAGGGATTACTTCCCAGACCAGAAAATTACTGTTGGGGATGTTGAAATGCCAATAGTTATCCTTGGAGACCCAGCCTATCCCTTGCTCCCATGGCTCATGAAGCCGTACACAGGCAGCCTGGACAGTAGTAAGGAACAGTTCATCTGTAGGCTGAGCAAGTGCAGAATGGTGGTAGAATGTGCCTTTGGACCTTTAAAAGCTCGCTGGCGCTGTTTGCTGACTAGGTTAGACCTCAGCGCAAACAGTATTCCCATTGTTATTACTGCTTGCTGTGTGCTCTATAATATCTGTGAAAATAAGGGGGAGACATTTATGATGGGGTGGGAGGTTGAGGCAAATCACCTGGCTGCCAATTTTGAACAGCCAGACACCAGGGCTATTAGAAGAGCATAGGTAGGTGCGCTGTACATCAGAGAGGCTTTGAAAACCAGTTTCATGACTGGCCAGGCTATGGTGTGACAGCTGTGTGTGTTTCTCCTTGATGCAAACCCACCCCCTTTGTTGATTTTTAATTCTCTGTAAGCCAACCATCCTCCCCCCCTTCGATCACAGCTGACAAAGGAAATAAAGTCACTATTGTTTTGAAACCTTTCTTTCTAAATTAAATTTAATTTAATTTAAATTTAAAAGGAGATAACTGATAAGGTAGCCCGGGTGGGGTGGGGGAGGAGGGAAGGACAAGGGCACATCGCTTATTGTAGCCACACTAAAAATCAAAACTGTTTTAATGACAGCCTTCTGTTGCTTGGGCCATCCTCTGGAGTGGCTGGGTGCCCACAGCCTCTCCCCCCTGCGTTCTTGGGCATCTGGGTGGGGAGAAGGACAGGTGGTTGTACAGTGGATGCAGCAGCGGTCTGTGCTCTTGTTGGCTTTCCTGCAGCTCTATGAGACGCCTGAGCATGTCCGTTTGCTCTCCCATTAGCCTCAGCATTGCATCCTGCCTCTTCTCATCGCGCTCACTTAATGCTTTCCTGGACTCTGCCACTGAATGCCTCCATGCATTCAGCTGTGCCCTATCAGTGCGGGAGGACTGCATGAGGTCAGAAAACATGTCATCGCGAGTGCGTTTTTTTCGCCTTCTAATCTGCGATAACCTCAGGGATGGAGATGATAGGGGGAGCATAGAAACATTTGCACCTGTAGGGGGATAAAAAGGGAGAGTAAAATTTAAGATGATACATTTCTGAGAACAAAAGGGAGACTCTTTCACAGTGAATCAAGCAATTCAAAGCAGACAGCACATGTGCTTTAGGTCGCATTTTGCCTTTTATATTGAGCACCTGCTGGTATGGTGACACATCACACAAGGCTGGGCAACAGAATTCGGTTTCCAGGCAGCCATGGTAAGCCAAAGGGTACAGGGGTTTGGCTTCTAACACCTTCATAACATGTGGGAATGTTTTCAAACTGCAGCGTCCTCCTTTCCCATAGCAAGCAATGCTGGTTCGGTTTGCCATTTAAAAGGAGGGGCTGCGGTTTTCGGGTGAATGTGCAGCACACGCCTCCCCCTACCCCTCCGCGTGGCTGTTTGGGATGGTCCCTTCACCCTTCCCCGCGCCGCATGGCTATGGGATGATCCCTTTTATCCAAGCGCAAACAGCCCAGCATGAACGGGGTCCTTTTACTATTCCCGTACAAAAATTCCCCTATTTCAACCAGGTGACCATGAATGATATCACTCTCTTGAGACTAACACAGAAAGATGAAGACCCAATGTTGCTTGAATGCAAACAAAACCCAGGACCATTCGCTGCCGTGCTTTGTGCTGCAATGATTCCAGACTACTTGCTACTGGCTTGGCGTGGTAAAGTATCCTACCGTGGAGGGTGAAATAAGGCAGCCCTCCCCAGAAACCTTCTGCAAAGGCTTTCAGAGTACCTCCAGGAGAGCTTCATGGAGATGTCCCTGGAGGATTCCCGCTCCATTCCCAGACGTGTTAACAGACTTTTCCAGTAGCTGTACTGGCCGCGAATGCATCCCAGGTCTTCAGGGAAAATCAGACATTAAACACTATTGCTTTTAAGCCCTGTACTGTAGTTACCAATGTGCACTCACCAGAGGTGCCTTCTCCATTTTCAGGGTCGGGGATCCCGCTGTGGGAGGGTATTGGCTCCAGGGTGAAGAAAAGCTCCTGGCTGCTGGGGAGAACGGATTCACCACTTGCCTGCTGCACATTCTCCTCCTTATCATCCTCCTCCTCCTCCTCCTCTGTGTTGCGTGAGACTCCCCCCTTGCAGGTGTGCACGGACAGTGGTGGGGTAGTGGTAGGATCTCCCACCTAGAATTCTGTGCAGCTGATCATAGAAGTGGCATGTATGGGGCTCTGACCCAGAGTGACAATTTGCCTCCTTTGTCTTTTGGTAGGCTTGCCTGAGCTCCTTGACTTTCACGCGGTACTGCTGTTTGTCCCTGTTGTAGCCTCTGTCCATCATGCCCTGTGCGATTTTTGGCATATACATTAGCATTTCTTCTTTTTCTGCCTGCACAGATTCTTCTCTCCATACAGCAATCAGATCCAGTGTCTCCCGTTCGCTCCATCTGGAGCTCATTTGCGATTCTGCAGGGGACTGCATGGTCACCTCTGCTGCTGAGCTTGACATGCTGAACAAACAGGAAATAAAATTCAAAAGTTCCCGGGGCTTTTCCTGTGTACCTGGCTAGTGTATTGGAGTTGAAAATGCTGTCCAGAGTGGTCACATTGGGGCACTCTGGGATAGCTCCTGGAGGCCAATAACGTCTATTTGCATCCGCACTACCCCAAATTTGACCCAGCAAGGTCGATTTTAGCGCTACTCCCCTCGCCGGGGAGGAGTACAGAAGTCAATTTTAAGAGACCTTTAGGTCGACTGAACGGGGTTGCTTTATAAAATCGACCTAACGCGGCTAAATTCGACCTAACTGTGTAGTGTAGACCACGGCTGTGACACTGTAACCGTAATTTTTTTTTATCTGGTTAACAATTGGATGGTGAGGGAAGCGCAGAAGGAAAGAGCACACAAAAGGAGAAAAAATTGCAGGCTAAAAATTCTATAATTAGCTTTTGGCGGGCTTAATAGAGTTTGTTGTTCCATGCATCGGTCCATAGACTGGTATGACTAGGAATGTTTACAGAGCTCCGTGAGAGGACTGGCTAATACTGTGAGTCTTGCTGGCTTAAATGTTTGCTAGGCTTTCAGGTTAGATTCACCCCAGTAATTGCACCTGCCTGCTTCAGCAAGATCCACTATGGTCTGAGTGGGGGGGGATTCACCCCAGCAGTATTGTTTCACTGCTGCCTTCCTTCAGGGAGTACGTTGGGGGTGTGTAGTTTTTGTTTGCAGACAGGGTCCCCTATGAGTCCTGGCAATACAGGCTGTTCAGGAGATACGCTCTGGAGACACCATCTCCCCAGATGGTTCTGCCCACGCTTGGGGTTCCTAATAGCCTTGCAGTGCTCCCTCCTCTCCTCTAGGGGTCTTGCCTTTCTAGAGTCCATTGGCCCACTGTGGATTCAGCCCATTGCTTTTATGTTTAAAGTTGACAAATGAGCAGGATAATTTTCTTGATAAAACTTTAACACACACACATTTTTCCCTAGGGTTGAATTTACTAAGGTGGCTGCAGACCCCTCAATTGTTAATCTTGGTCAAGGCCTTCCAGATATATCCCCTCCTAGCTATGTTAAAGAAGAGCTAGCCAAGGCAGCGACAGTTGATAGGCTGAACCAGTACACACGTGGCTTTGTGAGTACATTGAACTTTGGGGAAAGTTTGTTACATGGGAAACTTAAAGACTTAATTTTAAGTTAGGTGTATAACTTTGTTCCCTTTCATCTTGGCTCCTCTTCCTCCTTCCAAGCGTGGGTTTCTGTAATAGAGCTTACCAGCTGCTGATCAACATTCCTAGTGTAGGTTTATTTAAAGCAGAGTCCTTCACTCAGATTATCATCTTATAGTGCAGCATGTGTACCCTGCCAATCCTCTGGCCAGGTCACTTACGGTCTCACCCCTTCCAGGGAATCCAAGTCCAGTACAACAATAGTCCAGTAGCTTCATGTCAAGTCTTCAGCCCAACTTCACATTTATTGGCCTTCCAGCCCTTGTCTCCAGAAATCTTCACACCACCATCCTCAGAGGGTCAGTAGGGGAACTAGGTCCACCCTTCCCTGTGGGTTTCAGTTCAGGGACCCTGCAATAAGTTGCTAAGGTATGTCTGTTCGGACTTTTGCTTCCTCCATAGGTTACTTCCTACCTTAGCCTGTCCTCAGATACCAAAAAGAGAGTAAATTGGTTACAGGGAACAAAGCATAGTCAAAGGTTGTATACCAGGCCTACCTGTTCCAGAGAGACTCTGGCATCTAGCAGTCTCTAGTTTTCTGCTGGGCCCAGCTGGCCCCTCTTCAAGGGGCTAGCACAAGAAATCCACACCTTCTCCCAGTTATCTACTACTAAGTTGGGCTGAGGCCCTAGAAAGTTGAGACTTCTTTGTTAACCTCCTCCTGGCGCTGGCCAAGATGGCCATCCATCACACCAGGAGAAGGAATCTGGACTGGTTCTGGTGCTCTATGACTATGGGGGTCTATTTCCAGTCTCTCATCCAGTTGCCTCCAGGCAGAATTCCTCTGGGCAATACGCAGACTCCTTAGACGCCTTTGAGGAGTAGTGGGTGCTGTTCAGGGTTTGCTGCTTGGTGTCCCCTCTGATTTCCCTGATTTTTTTCAACCTTTAGTCTTCCCTCCAGTCTTTTTTTTTTTTCTCCTTTCTTCATTCATTCATTGTCCCAAGAATTCAGTTGTGGCCTGGGTTCAGGGTCCCCTTTGGTCTAGTTCTGGCAGGCCTAGGCCTGCCCATCTCAGTACCCACTAAGCCGGGCTTTTCCTCTTTTATCTCCTTCCTCCAGGTTTGACTGATCTCACAGGTGTAATGGGTTGGAGTTTGAGCCCACGGCTCTCATTATTCTCTTTCCAGCCAGCGGGAGGCCTATATACCCCATCACAATACAGACAGATGAGGGAGTGCAAGGAAAGGAAACAATGAGACCTCTCCCTCTCTGTGTCCCTATAGGGGAGGGAATGAAATGGGGTTATATATTATCCTTCATAACTGGCCTAGCACACCAGAGGCTCCTGGAGCTACCTTGGGGTAGGATACTGCTAAATTGGCATTTTAGAACCCAAAAACATCAGATGTAGAAAGAATTGCCTGGTAGGAATCAAGAAATTGAACCTCTCTTCCTTCCCCATCACCCACAAACCCCTTTAAAACCCACTTGTGATTTTAGGCTAAAACTGGTAGTGTAGGGGCTCACCTTGTATTTTTCTTTGTTTCAAACAAACAGCCTCCTCCTCCTGTTTTGATTTTTGTGTATGAAAGAAATCAAACACTTACAGGACAATATCTCCTCTAAATCATACCAGTAATCTCCTACTTATTAATAATTCTGTCCACAGTTATTTCTGTTTATTGAGAGATAAAGCGTGTATGTGTGCATAGATAAATTTTTGTATTATCAGTTGTCTGTGTTACCTAATACATAGCGCACACCACATGCGTTTTTTCTTTATTTTGAACAGGGCCATCCATTGCTGGTGAAAGCCTTGTCCCAGGTATATGAGAAGGTTTGTGGAAGAAAGATTGATCCTTACACAGACGTCTTGGTGACAGTGGGAGGATATGGATCTCTGTTTAGTGCAATACAGGGGTTAATTGAAGTGGGAGATGAAGTAAGCTTTATCTGAAGTATTTTATTATAGCTACCAAAATAAAATTAATTATGTTGATGTTTTCTTTCTAGTGTTTTTAAAAAATATATAAATTGCAGTTTTATCTATTTAGCCTATGCCAGATAATTAAGAGCCCTGTCATGTAGGTGAGGGGCTGGCAAACATTTTTAGAGACTGGGCCGTATCTCAATAAGGAGACTGTCCCATGGATGCCTCCATCCCATTCACCAACATGCAGGCCTCCTCCCCTATTTATTGTACTTCTACCTCATTGTTGCCGTTAACACCCACTAATTCCTATTTTACAAACTTTGTGGGCTGCTGTCTGCATCAAGAAACTAAATATGGTTCAGGGTATCTGTTCTCAATGTTTGAATAGCCATTATAGTTCAGATTTTGTTTCAGACTATTATATGGTACCAATGTGAAGGGGAAAAAAAGTATACACATTTTTAAAGTTAGGATCAGTATTTGTTTTCATGTGGTAGGCCTGATGATTCATCCTTTCATTATTGCTTTGTTTCCCACTGCTACCAGATACCTGAAATGGCTTTTTGGGAAGCGGTATTTGGGAGACACTGTAACTGACAAGTGCTTTTTCTGGTGTGGTACATTGGCTTTTTTCCTTTTCTTAAGAATACTTCTGTTTTGTGTTCTCATCTGTTTTCTCTCTCTTCCTTGTTGCTTTGATCTTCTCTCCCCTTTTGTCTCTGTCACTCTTTGAGTCTTTTGTATTACCTTAATCCTTTGCCATTGTTCACTGCCCCTTTTGCCTCGTCTCTCCACGTTTTAATACCTTTTGTGTCTCTGTCCATAAGCACTTCTAACATTATATGCTAGTAGCAACTGTAGTGTCTAACTTGAGAAGAATTGCCCATGTCTAATCTCTGAAGTACTACTAATATATGTTATCTTAGTGAGTAGTACCTCTAATTATCAGATTGAGAGCATTGCCATATGATGTTCTAAGACGATGAAAATTGTGCATTATCAAATCAGGGTTGAATGCCCAAGGTGCACAGTAAATTCATATGGCCAAAGTAAATCTGAAGAAAGTAATATGATGTTATGACGCATAGTAATTTCTCAATTCTAGGTCTTGCTGACTATATGTTTTAATTTCAGGTGATAATAATAGAGCCATTTTTTGACTGTTATGAGCCCATGGTGAAGATGGCAGGAGGAAAACCTGTTTTTATCCCATTGAGATATGTATGTTTTTAAAAAAAATATTATTATTATTTATTATTAGTCTTACAAAATAATTCTGTGATTAATAACATTTGATAATCACATTATAGATGGTCCCCGTTTAGTTGTTCTTAACATACAACTATATAATAAATGAGATAAAATGCTACAATATAAGGCTCAGAGGTGATGCTATCCAAAGCATTCTAGAAATAGTGTTCTACAAGTGTTGTAAAGAGTAGGGCACTGTTTCCCATTTAATTCAACTTCTGCATGCTGAAAGCTCCTAAAGTCCTTTTGTTTGACACCATCAGAAAAGTTTTGAAACACAAAATAATGGAAGGGTGATCACATGCCTAGTTTACGTATTTGTTATTTTAAAGAGTTGGTTTCTGATCCTGTTCAGCAGCTTGTGAAGTGATGGGATATAATCTCTATTCCAAAAACTGCCTACTAAATTAGGAATGGTCTTCCATTTACCACAAAAAGTGGAATGACTGTTTCCTTTTTAGTTATGGAGATTAGCAATTTCTCTGTGGTTGATTTTCAAATAGCAACACCTCAGATATTTGAAAGAAAACTACTAATTAGTTGTACTGAAAGGACCAGAAAACTTCTGTTCTTTGGAACAAAAATCTAGAGGGATGGGTATTGAAGTAACCTAGTATTATTCTTCCAGCCTAAGGAAGGCGTTGTGCCTGCACTCTGTGCAGTTGAGCTCCCACAGTTTTGTGGGAGGCAGAGCTGGGGAGAACTGTTCTACAGCATTAGTAACTTCCTGAAGACTTGCAGGGATTTCCCGGTGTAAGAAATTTTGACCCTGTCTTTGTGAACTGAGGTGAACTCCAGCAGTTCTTATGCCATGTCCCTCACTGTAATGTGTAACTGTATGAAGCTTAGAAGGGTCATGCTCTCCACCTGCTCGATGACTGGCTGAAGCTTTCTCCTCTTGACTACATGTTGCAGTAGGGCACAGATAGTTTCCTAACTTTGGTCTTCCTGTGAGCTTTGCATGGGGAAAGGCATGGTCTGGGCTATAATGTGTGTTGCACTTAAGTAATACAGGCATTTATTCCTATTCTAGAAAACTGTTATTGGGAACTCTGCATCTAGTGCTGATTGGGTCTTAGATGCAACTGAACTTGCTAGTAAATTTAATTCCAGAACAAAAGCTATTCTACTGAATACTCCTCACAACCCTATAGGCAAGGTAAGACTTCCATTCTAGTTTAACATAGTAGTTGTAATTTCAGAGTGTATCTTAATACACTGATTAATGCATTGGCCCTCTCTTTTTGCCTTCTAGGTATTTACCAAAGGAGAACTCCAGGTAATAGCTGATCTCTGTATTAAACATGACACCCTGTGCTTCAGTGATGAGGTGTATGAATGGCTGGTGTACAAAGGAAATAAACACATTAAAATAGGTACTGATTTTTGTATAACCACGCAGATGGTTGTGGAAGGATATCATAAATGCGCATCTCAAAGATAACTGATGCTGTCAAGTAGTTCAAACTATAATTTTGGTTTAGTTTAAAATTATGAAACTCTGATGAGGAACATCCTTTATTTTCTAAATCTTTATTTAAAAGATTAAAGGTGGAATTTTCAAAAGCATTTAAGTGGATTGAGACATGCAAGTCCCATAGAAAGTAGATGGGCCTTGTACTCTTAAACCACTTAGGTCCTATTGAAAATCCCACCCTAATTCAATTCTTTGTTGAAGACTAACGTCATAATCACTGGTTTCAGAGTAGCAGCCCATGTTAGTCTGTATCTGCAAAAAGAAAAGGAGTACTTGTGGCACCTTAGAGACTCTACATCTCAGTGGTGTGCTTTGTTGCAGAGCTAGCTGAGGGAAGGGAACAAGAGCTCACTATCAAACCTCTTTCCTGGAGCTCTGCTGACATAATCAGTGAGGCTAGTGCATAATAAGGAAACCACATTATTGTTTTTCCCATAAAAAACAGGAAAAAAAAAAGTTGGAAAAAGGTAAAGAACAAAATTAGTAGAAGATTATTTCCTACACCTTCCTCCCAAGCAGAGGGTATTAAAAAATAATGGGCATTTCAAACACTGAAGTCACTCTGGGCTCTATGTGGAGTCTTGCTTCAGTTGTTCTCTCAGGCAGAGATGCTAAACAAACAAAACCATTGCAAGGACAAATCAGACAACTAAACATTTAATGCTATCAGGGTCCCTGCAATAGTTTGCTTTTTTAGGGCCTGATCCATCTCTCACTGAAATCCATGAAAACAGCTCCACTGACTTCACTAGGAGCTGGATCTTAGTGTAGGCACATCCAATATATGCTGCCAATAACCCTAAATCCAGATTCTGCAAACACTTTTACATGTGCTTAGTATTACGTTCATGAGTAGTTCTACTGAAGTCTATGGGATTGCACAAGTGCTTAAGTTAATCATGTGTGTAAATGTTTGGAGGTTGTGGCCTTAGTTTGAATCCTAGTTAGTGGATTGTGAGAAGTCTGAATCCTACACTTTAAGGTCATAAGGGAGCATTATGATCCTCTAGTCTGACCCCCTGCACAATGCAGGCGACAGAATCTTCCCCACCCACTACTGTAACAAACCCCTGACCTATATCTGACGTACTGAAATCCTCAAATCGTGGTTTAAAGACTTCAAGATGCAGAGAATCCTCCAGCAAGTGACCCGTGCTCCACGCTGCAGAGGAAGGTGAAAAACCCGCAGGGCCTCTGCCAATCTGACTTGGAGGAAAATTCCTTCCCGACCCCATATATGGTGATCAGCTAAACCCTGAGCATGTGGGCAAGACTCCCAGGAAAGAATTCTCTGTAGTAACTCCGATACTACCCTATCTAGCATCCCACCATAGGCCATTGGGCATATTTACCACTAATAGTCAAAGATCAGTTAATTGCCAAAATTAGGTTATCCCATCATACCATCCCCTTCATAAACTTATCAAGCTTAGTCTTGAAGCCAGATATGTCTTTTGCCTCCACTTCTCCCCTTGGAAGGCTATTTCAGAACTTCACTCCTCTGATGGTTGGAAACCTTTGTCTAATTTCAAGTCTAAACTTCCTGATGGCCGGTTTATATCCATTTGTTCTTGTGTCCATATTGGTACTGATCTTAAATAATTCCTCTCCCTCCCTGGTATTTATCCCTCTGATAATATTTCTAGAGAGCAATCATATCTCCCCTCAGCCTTCTTTTGGTTATGCTTAAACAAGCCAAGCTTTTTGAGTCTCCTTTCATAGGACAGGTTTTCCATTCCTCAGATCATCCTAGTAGCCCTTCTCTGTACCTGTTCCAGTTTGAATTCATCCTTCTTAAACATGGGAGACTAGAACTGCACACAATATTCCAGATGAGGTCTCACCGTGCCTTGTATAATGGTATTAACACCTCCTTATCTCTACTGGAAATACCTCTCCTGATGCATCCCAAGACCGCATTAGCTTTTTTCACGGCCATATCACATTGGCAGCTCATAGTCATCCTGCGATCAACCAATACTCTGAGGTCCTTCTTCTCCTCCTCTGTTACTTCCAAGCGATGCGTCACTAGTTTATAACAAAAATTCTTATTGTTAATCCCTAAATGCATGACCTTGCACTTTTACCCTATTACTATTACTCCAGTTTACAAGGTCATCCAGCTCTTCCTGTATGATATCCCATTCCCCCTCTGTATTGGCAATACCTCCCAGCTTCGTATCATCTGCAAACTTTATTAGCACATTCCCACTTTTTCTGCCAAGGTCAGTAATAAAAAGATTGGTCCCAAAACCAATCTCTGAGGAACTCCACTAGTAACCTCCTTCCAGCCTGACAGTTCATCTTTCAGTATGACCCGCTGTAGTCTCCCCTTTAACCAGTTCCTTATCCACCTTTCAATTTTCATATTGATCCCCATCTTTTCCAATTTGGCTACTAATTCCCCATGTGGAACCGTATCAAATGCCTTACTGAAATTGAGGTAAATTAGATCCACTGTGTTTCCTTTGTCTAAAAAATCTGTTACCTTCTCAAAGAAGGAGATGAGGTTGGTTTGGCATGGTCTACCTTTTGTAAAACCGTGTTGTATTTTGTCCCAATTACCATTGATCTCCTTAACTACTTTCTCCTTCAATTTTTTTTTCCCCCAAAATCCCTTGCCTTGCTAATTTATTATTAAGGATTATCTTCTCAGCTATACACAGGTTTTGGTTCTGGAAGTAGCTACTTGCATGAACACCCAGCTGAAAAGTAATGGACTGTAGAGTTATGAAGTCCCATGTTAGGACAATAAAGGTGAATTTTAATGATGCCCAATAAAGTAGCCCTGTTGAAATTAAAATGTTAACCCAAAAGGCATAAAATTAACTTTCCTGACAGTCAGAAGAACTGTGTTCTGTTCCTGGCGCTGATGCTGATATAATGTGCGTCCTTGAGCAAACCATTTCATGTCTCCCTGCCTCAGTTTCCCCATCTTTTAAAGTGACAATCATGATATCCTTCTTTATAAAGTGCTTTGAGATTTACAGATAAATTACCCACTAATTTTTATTAATGATAAAATTGAGATTAACTAGGAATAAGCAAATGTTTTTTTTGTCTACAATGACTTTGGAAAACTGGTAGTTAAGATGAGTTTAGTGTAACTGAATTAATGTATTGCTTTCTGCTTGCTGAAGATGCAGTCCTTTTGCATGCTCAGCTCCCACTGATATCTGTGGGACATGCAGGCCACAAGTTTTTTTTTTTTTTGCTTTCTAATGCTATTTTAAAAAAATCCTATTTTTAAGGCCAACTTGGTGGCCTAATCATAATATCATACAAGAGGCCTGTTGCCCACTGGGACATGGAGGAAATAACTCTTAGTATTATTAGTATAACTTTGTTTTAACATTTTGAAGGAAAAAATACCAGATGAACAAAAAGCATTTTTATTGCACAACATAAAATTTACAATTCCAGTGTGATAATGACTCAAGTTAAAGCTTAGAGTGTGAGTCAACTGGCTTTAGCTGCATTCTCTAACAGATCCCATCAAATGATCTTACAATTTATTGTTAAAAACCTACCAACCATAAAACCTTCAGAGTAAAAATGTAACTGATAAAGTCTTCTTTTACTAAAAGAAGCAAGACTTTTTTTTTTAACTTCAGCTTCTTAGTTTTTATAACTGTACATTAAAAATAATACAAGGAAAAAAAATCCACTATTTCACTATGTAGAAGCTGCAAGGTTTTTATATTAAGCTTTACACATTCAATCAAATGCAGTGACGCTTCTTACATGAAAGATGCAAAATGGATATTACAGAGTCTGGTGGTGGTTCTTATTATATAATCTAATAGGGTAGCTATAGGTATATCATAAAATTAGCATAGTCTTTATTCTGTCGCTCAGGCAGTCTTCTCTAATATAGAACACTTCATCATGTCTCTAACCCTTATCTGACTTTTGTAAAAGTGCAAATCTCTTATGAGTAACGATTAGAGCTATAGTGGCAGATTTAGAGTTCTCATATCGTAATTGAGGATTCTGTTGGCATTTCAACAAACAGTGCCCCAGCCCAGGTAATATGCTTATATGTGTTACCTTACAGATAATTCCCAGCACTTAATTGGCATTAATTATTTTAAACCGTACTGAGTTTGAATATAATGATATTGCCATATAGCATAGAAAAAATGCTCCCCATTCCATTTAATCCTGCATATGAATTTATGGCTTGTGAAAGTGATAGACTGCCCTTTCCCCCTCTACCTTCTTCCTGCTATTATTGTGTGGAATGCTCCTGCTATCTGTCCCCATGCTTGAATTCCTGGGAGTAGTTTGCAAAACAGTCTCAGGTCTGGTCTAAGTTTAAAAGTTAGGTCAACGTAGCTATGGTGCTCAGGGGCTTAGTTGCAGCTCTTCCATTGACGTAGCTACCACCGCTTGGAAAATTGGATTATCTCCTGTGAGGGGGAAAAACCCCTTCTGTCACTGTAGGAAGTGTCTTGGATAAGTGGCATGCTTGTAGGTGTAGCACCATAGATCTGTGCCACTATAGCACCTATAGTGTAGACATGGCCTAAACAGAGGGCACCTAGCTTTGAAATTCACTTGTGCTTGCAGTATGCTGGAGCCAGTTTGTCAGCCTTTAGGACGTGGTGCTTAAATACTACAGCCTACATAGCTCAATAGAAGATGCATCTGTTCAAACTGACTTTTTGTTTTCAAGGTTACAAGTCTGTTGGAGAGGTGAGTGCTGGTTAGGGGGAAGATGGGTTTCTCATTTGCTAATTGTTTTGTGTTTTACATTTGTAAATGTGCCCCAAAATGACAGTGATGGGCACTGACTTGAACCAGTTCTAGTACAGGGAGGTACTGTGAAAACTTGCCCGTGGAATTTTGCCATTACGTCTATGACGGCCTTGCTTATGGGCCTCCCTAGAGAAAACTCCTGACAGTTGTGCTGGATTTGGCAATAGCTCTTTAGTATGACAATGGGATGGGATGCAACAGGACAACTGAAATCACTAGTCCTTGTGCCCTCATCTAACCTTATATGTAACAACTTTGGGAAATGCATCTGGGCTTGTCCTATGAAGTGGTCCATGGATTGTGAGAGTCAGAAAGGACATTCCATTGAAGCCATCTGTGAAAAAGCCTGCAGATATAAGAAAAGTCTTTTGCTCTAGCAGAATTAAAATGGCCTAAATTTGGTTTAGCATAATTCACTATATATTAAACCAACTGAAGATCACTTTAATGCTGAATGGAGTTTCCACACAAGAATTTAATGTGGTTTGACAAATTCACTTTAAATTCTCACCTTTAGTTAATTTGTATTAACTTTCCTAAGTGTCCCCAGTTACCATGTGCTCGATAACATGAGTTAAGAACACACCTTTTTTCCTAGTGATGAGGCACCCCGAAAGGGCGTGATGGTTCGTTCATCTCAATACAGTGTTAATTCTGAGGCCTGGCAATGACCGTGTAAATGTCAACATTGGGTACATCTACACTGGAATAAAAGCCCTGTGACACAGTCGTGGCTGGCTTGAGTCAGCTGATTCAGGCTCATGGGGAACAGGCTGCAGGACTGAAAATTGCTGTGTTTAGGGCTTGGGCTGGAACCCGAATGTCTACACAGCAATTTTTCAGCCCTGGAGCCGGAGCCTGAGCCCGAGTCAGCTGACCCGGGCCACCTGTGGGTTTTTTAGCCAGTGTAGACCTATCCACTGTTACAATGATCAGCCATGAACTAGTTAACAGGCTTGTCCAGCTAACAATCCCATTGTAGCTGGATACTACAGAAATCAGAGATGAAAAAGAGCTGTCTAGGTCTGTGGCATAAACCAACAGCCCAAGAACCACCCATAAGTGTTGAGAAAAGAGCAAAGAACTCCTGGATTTAGCTATACTGCAGGTGGGAGGTGTAATGTTAGTAAATCTGCCAGCTCTGATCAAGTTAGTGCGCTAAAAATAGCATGGGTGGCAGCTCAAGCTAGCTGCGCAAGCACAATCCTGTCTAAGATCCTAGATATGTACTCGGGTGGCGGCTCTGGCTAGCTGCCTACGCTGCTGCAGCCACGTTGCTATTTTTAGCACACCAGCTTGATCAGAGCTAGTGCCCGTATATCTATGTGAGTTGCGGAATCACACCTCCCACCTGCAGAGTAGACCTACTGTATATGCTATGTCTATGCTAGATAGTCGGAACAGATCTGGGAGTTTCAACCAAAAGCAGATAGCCAGGGATGCTTTTGGAAGGCTTATTCTGTAGCCCAGATCAACTCTACAATGTAGACTTCTGCCAGCATGGTTATGTGTGTCAGGGATCATACCTCTGCACACTCCTGACAGACATAACTATGCTGGCAGGTCAGGAGTGTGAAGAGGTGTGATCCCTGACAGATATAGCTGTCCAGGCAGAAACCCCTGGACTAGATGCAGTTATGCCAGCAAACCTGTTTTCATTCGGAGGGGGGGTGGGGCGCGGTGTTTTTGCTATATCGATACAAAGCGCAGCTTTGCCAGTATCTCTGTATCCACACTAGGGCAATTTGCTGGTATAGTATAGCAGTAGTCCTATACCAATAAAGTGCTCCTAGTGTAGACATAACCTAACTCTGCAAAACTGAGGAATCCACTTTCTGCAAGTCTGAAGCCACATTTTGACTCTCGGCAGCTGGTGAAATATTTTTAAGTATGTTAATATTAAATTTTGGTGGGGAGATTGCAGGTATTGGTGCTATCATAAGGCTTTGACATTGAATTTTTTAAATTAAAGCTTAAATTCTACAGAAATTAAGAGGTGCTGAGAAACACTTTGGCTGGCTGCAGGAATGCTAAGACTGTGCATTACAGGGATACAGTTGTGAATCTCAGTAGTAGTTGTAACAGTTCAGCTATTCCTGTGTATTTTATAAACGGTAGCGAAGATTGGCAGATACTATGGATTTTGAGATACACTGTAATCAATCCCATGATGATTATTTTGATTTTGCTGTTATCCAGTAACAGCTGAGAAACTACTTCATTGCCCTTTCTTTCACCCACTCTCAGTTCAAAACTTATTCTTAAGGGATGGATGTTTTTCAAGTTGCTGATGTAGAATTAGTAGATGTTTGGGGGCGTGGATGGCTCAGTCACCACAACTGGCACTGCTTAACATTCCTAATGGCAGCACCCGCAGAGTGGACAAGGACTGAATGGCCGTAGCGGAGGTGGATTTCTAGGGGTGATCCCTCCAATTCAGATTAAAGCACAGTGAGAGGGAAGTGTAGCAGAGTGTGCCAGTGGTCATTCAGCATTTGTTCTGTGGCTAAATGGAGGCTTTGGTCTCCAGGGCTGACAGTCTGGTACCTTTCACAAGCACCAAATTCATACCAATTCAAATTTCATAAAATGAAAGATGTTTTCACTCTGTGTGTCTTGCTCATTCCTTAACTTTCTTTTTTTTGATCCTTGCCTAATTTCTATTCCAAAATACACTTCTCCATTTTTCATTTAAAATAAGAATTTTTCTCCTAGCTTTGTTTGTTACAATATTATATTAAAATATTGCTGCTCTTAGCTAGGAACAGTACAGGTTTTTGTGATTGTATGGAACATGTATGTGCACTGGCAACCAAGTCACTTTATTTTATGTGCAGCTACACTGCCAGGCATGTGGGAGAGAACAATAACTATAGGAAGTGCTGGAAAGACATATAGTGTAACTGGCTGGAAGGTAAGAACAACAAGAGTAAGAGATCTGTTACATAAATAATATGTATTTATCTGACCTAAACCTTGTCTATTTTTGCATTCTATCATTTGAAAGCTTACTGTGCATCCAACTCACAAAAAATTGCAGACAATATTCACTTGGAAATGCTACCTACCTTTAATATGCACTCTCTAACAATGCTCTTATTAATTCTAAAAATAAATGCTTGTGAAAGTGAAACGGAAGGGAGGGGTGAATATTAAAAAATTAAGTACAAAACACTATTTGCTTTGCAGAAAGAGCCAAAACTGCTGAAGGATACATACAGAGTATTTTTAAAACCTGTTTCCAGTTTTGTGAAGCGGGTGTAAAATGTTGGCATTAAAACATCTAAGGATTTTATTACTTCCACAGATCTAAAACACCATTGCTTGTGTGCACAGTTTTAGCCTATAAAATTGCACCCATAATACATTAGAGATGCAACAATTCAGGCTAGCTTGAGTCCCATTAAATATGTGACCAATAAATATTTTATTTGGCTCTGGTAAAGTAATGACAATGCTTTATACTGATTAGTATATATGAGTTCTATCTCCAGCATTTCTAAACCTGCCATTTAGCAAAACTTGTACAGTTTTTATGTCAACAGAAGTGCACTATTGCTTTTTCCCATTGTGAATACCTCGAATTCTTTCAACTTTTAATTCTTTATTATGAGTCCTAATTGCGAACTTGCCTTATTTTTAAGATGTCTGTTTTTTCTCCTCCCCCTTAGCTTGGATGGTCCATTGGTCCACAGCATTTGATAAAACATTTGCAAGTTGTTCAGCAAAATACGCTGTATACATGCCCAACTCCGTTACAGGTAGATACAGATGGGAGAGGAGAGAGGTTCTGTTTGTACAGTGTCTTGCATAAAGGAGTTGGGGCCTCCAGGCACTACTGCAATACAATTAAAACAAATTAGTATGAATTTTGAGATGTCTAAATATTTTTATGTAGTTTCTTGGGGATAAACGTGCTGGTAGAGAAGGCAAATTTTAGAGTCACTAATGAGGCAATTTAAAAAATACACCAGAACCTTGCAAATTCTCATTGCATTAATCTGCAAAGGTGACCATTGTTGCACAAAGCCTGGCAGCCTCACTCCTTTCTCAGCCAAAATGTAATTGCAGGATGCTGCAGTGACATCTCATATTGCTGTGAATTACTTTTACCAAACGGTTATTTACTAGTATTCTATCATGTATTAGCATCAATAATTAAAACTAAACTATACTTCAAATTACACTGTAAACTCTTGAGGCAAGGACTGTGACTTCCTCTGGTGCAATGCTTAGCAGAATGTGGGCCTGATCCTGATTGAGACTTTTAGGTGTTACAACACTAGAAAGAGTAAATAATAACAGCTTGTCAAAATAAATGCACACGTTCCATTTTGTGATGCAGTGGTTTGGGGTATTTGTGGACTCAGTAAGACCCCGGTCCTGCAAAGAGATCTATGTGAGAAGGTCCATACACCATGCAAAGTCCCAGTGACCTCTCCCAGTAACTTCAGTAGGACTTTGCATGTGTGCAAGGGTCCACCTGCAGGAAAACTTTGTATGCTGATTATGTTTGCAGGAGGCGTTGGCACAAGCTCTTTGGATCGACTTTAAACGCATGGATGACCCAGACTGCTACTTCTACTCGCTGTCTCGAGAGTTGGAAGGCAAGCGTAATCGGATGGCTGAGCTACTCCAAGAAGTTGGATTGAAACCTGTCATTCCAGATGGAGGATACTTCATGATTGTTGATGTTTCTGCACTTAGTCAGTGAAGGTTTATTATGAGGGAGTGGGAGCATACACTATAGTTAAGATTAAAATGCAACTTCCATTTTAAGCCTCCATTTTTTTCAGTTTCTCGTAACACTTTCAAACAAACTCCTTTTGGGCTAAAATGTTCTGTGTGTGAACTTGGCCCAGAGGTGATTATTTTTGTAAGTTTTGGTAAACTCTGTTCATCCATTTTTTTGAGTGGTGTGATTTCTAATTACTGCCTTTGTATTACTTTTTCATTTAATCAAGTCTGATGACTGTTGCAGGGAAGATGTGAAATTAGGGTTAGGTGAGAAGGTGGTTAACTGGATTTATAGTTTAGGAAGGTATATGATTTGCAAAAGTTTGAGAATTACTGATCTACAAAAACACTAGGAAGAGCTGTACCTACACTGAGGCGCAACTGTAGCTGTTGCACTTCAGTGTAGGTGGTGGGAGGGATTCTGCCATTGCCATAGGTAACTGACCTCCTTGTGTTGATGGAAGAATTTTTATAATTATGCTAGGGGGCTAGGTCAGTATAGCTGCATCTCTGAGGTGTGGATTTTTCCTAGTGTAGACCTGGACCCAGTCTTCTGTCTTCCATTGACTGCCTGTAATAGCACTTTGCACTTAAGTTAATTAGGCCTCATAGTGCCCCTTTGAAATAGGTAAATATCCCATTCTCCTCTCCCCGCCCCCCACCCTCCAAGTCATACAACAAGTCCCTGACAAAACTAGGATTAGACTCTGAATGGCGCACAAGACTTGGTTCAGCTCTTCCTAGTGGTTTATAGTGACTCTAGTATCAACTGTAATAAAGAATACTGAGAGAGAAGTGTCCTCCCACTGGAATCTGGGAGGTGCTATAATATTATGCTCCATTTTACGTTCATTTTTATTTTTAGATGTGGATCTGTCTGATATGGAGGCGAATCAACATTATGATTATAAATTTGTGAAATGGATGATAAAATCTAAGGTAAGATGTCTCTTCTACCCAGTCACTCAGATATATATTAAAAATTAGGAATATTTTTATATCTAAAATAAAAATACACCTGGACCTGAACCTATAAAAGGATACAGCTCAGATATTTACATTTTAAAGCATGCCTAGAGGTTTAGCTGTGCATATCACCCTAACTGTGGGAATCTAGTGGCTAAAATCCTACTGAAAATGTAGCTTGTAGTCTTAGCACAAAACAATAAAGACAAGTCCCAATAATTGCTATTTTCCACACTTACATGTTTGCAGTAGGCAAGATCCTGCTACCTGTCTTGCCTAGGAAAAGTGGTTGAGTTTAGGTCAGATTTAGCTAGCACATGCCAAACCTAAACTTGATCACTCTTCCTAGTCAAGATAAACCCATTGATTTCACTGGTGCAGGATTAGGTACTTATTTTTGATATGTGAATTCTGAAAATTAAGCCAATTCAATTCTAATGAAGGAAGGGAAGGCTCCAAAATCTTGGCTGTACAATTTATCAAACCTAAAATTGACTTTATCTGTGTGTAATAGGCAAATCATTATGTTTCATCATTTCAGAAACTGTCAGCAATTCCTCTTACAGCATTCTGTGGCCCAGACACCAAAAAGCAGTTTGAGAAATATATACGTTTTTGCTTCATCAAAGTAAGTTTGTGTCCTGCTCTAGAAAACTGTTCTGATAGCAGTGTTGCTTATTACTAAATTTTTGTGCTAGTTTAATCTAAAGGAGTTGTTTTGTGTTTAGTTTTTGCACTTAAGCAGTTAGTTATTTGGTTGGTTTTATATTGACATTTTTAATAGCATTACTGAAAAGTTAGTTTTATTAAGAATGCAACAATAGGCACATGGAGGAAAAAATTAATACAAAATACAGGCCCACGCTGATTTGAAGCAGGGACAGAAATGGAGAGTGGTGAGGTTGCAGAAACACAGAGCAACCTGACTGCCTCTTTGCTAAGGAACTTTCAACCCTCAAAGTAGGTGGCACTGGCTGGGATGGGTAAGTGGCCAGGGAATAAGATGATTCTCTCCTTAGCCTCCATTGACAGGATTCCTTCGGATCACTCAACGGATTTGCAAGCTGACTTAGCAAATACCATGATGGAGTGTGTGTGTGTGTTGCTAGTGAGGCTTCCCTGCCCAGTATGGACAGAGATAATTTCTAACAAAATTCTAGCCAAATCACGCTATAGACTACTTTGTGCGACGTACAGGGCGATAGCCAAGTCACAAAACTGTCCAGAATATGGAATACCTACGCTTGAGGTGGTGAGGGTGGAGGGAAGAGAATTCAAAGCACAACTTCATTACATGGGTATTTAAAAACAAAAAAACCCACCTTTACACACAGGTTAGGTTAACTATGCTAGCATGACTTCAAATGTAGCGTGGACAAGACCACTACTGTAAATACAGCAGATAGTCACGCAAATGTAATGGGAGTGATTTCTACGTACATTTGATAGTATTGACACTAAGGAAAGCAAAGGAGTTGTTTGGATATTATAAAATTTTGTACATTAAAAATACAATATTTACAAGAAATCTAACTTTGAATTCCTTTCTTGGTGTACCCTCCAGATATATAGTTACAAAGTTTAGTGGCAAATTATTGAATCCTTTGGATATTTACAAGATACAATTTGTAACTTTGTCAAAAAATACTAGTTTGCAGTGCTGTAAAAATGGCTGATACTCAATTTTGTAGAGCTCTGTACCTACAGTAATTGTGGCGTTCTATACTTGCAGCAAGACAGCACACTGGATGCAGCTGAGGAGATCCTGAAGAACTGGAATAATCCTACATCTTGATTTTTATATTTGTATTAATTATTCCATCTAGTACAATTATTTTATACATAGGTATTTCATTATACCATTAAAAGCCAATGTACTCTAAATACAGTACATGATTCATATGAAATTACAAATAACTCTGGGAGACTACCTGCTGAGTAGCCAGAATAACAATTTATCCATTGCAAATAATGACAGGTTTCAGAGTAACAGCCATGTTAGTCTGTATTCGAAAAAGAAAAGAAGTACTTGTGGCACTTTAGAGACTAACCAATTTATTTGAGCATAAGCTTTCGTGAGCTACAGCTCACTTCATCGGGTGCATTGTAGTCTACCCCGCAATCAGAGAGATGATTGCAGCATAAGGCATACCCATGTTAGCTTTAATCTGGCTAGCACAGTTAAAAATAGAAGTGTAGAAACAGCTCTGGCTTCAGCAGAGGTTAGCAACATGAGTACAGGGTTCCTGGCAGATTTGTATAGCCTGTGCTGAAGCCTGTGCCACCACACCTTCACTGCTATTTTTATGTCAGTCCATAATGAAATTACACCTCTGACTGCCATGTAAACATATCCTTAATTCTACCGATCTGTGGTCATGGGTTTAGTCCAACAGTGCCTTTATCCACAAGTAAATTGTACAGCCATAGAGTGGGCTGGTAACAACCGTCTGGCTTCTCTCTTAGTTCCTGATCTTGGTCCTGGGCTTTCAGCCAGAACATCCTCCATTGTCTCTCTAGTTACTTTGTACTGCCATCTCAAAAAAACTCCACCAGAACTCTTTAAAAGGGTGGTGATTGAGTAGAGTTAAATCAGGTCTGCATGGTGAAAGAATAGTCTGGGAATGAAATTGGCTCCAGATGAGTTATGGAATATATCTCTGGGAAATTGTGAGATTCCAGGGGCATTGTGGCAGTCTGACCTCTCCTTCCAAAAATCCCATTATCTCCGAGGTAACCCCCAATATCTCCTAGTTCCTGGCACAGCTCCCAGGTACAATTCACATTGGGAGATTTCAGTGGGTATCTACCTAGAGCAGTGGTTCTCAATCTTTCCAAACTACTGTATCCCTTTCAGGAGTCTGAAGCCTGAGATCTACTGTCCAGGGCTGAAGCATGTAATTTAGCTTTTCGGGGCCCCTGTCGCATGGGACTCTGAGTAATTGCCCTGCTTGCCACCACCTAATGCTGGCCCTACACTTGCAACTCCCCTGACATAGAGGGCATTACAGCAGAATCTGTTGAGCAGAGTGCTAATTTGGGTGCAGGACAAAACAGTTAGTGTTGTTAACATGCTTCAGCTTGTAATATGCTTGTACCTCAGTTGGTGTAAAACAATTGGCTCAATTACAATCAATTCCATGTTCTCTAGTGTAGATGAAGCACATAGGGAGAAGGCAGGTGGAGTAGAGAAAGGGGAACCCCAAACCACACTGAGGCTTAGAGCTGCCATTTTTCAAGCACTGTCAATTATCTTAAAATTTAACAAATCTGCTAATATAAATATAACAAATATATAGATTTCTGTGAGAGAAACTGGGTTCCTAGGGTATAGGATGAGTTAAATTTTACTAATCCCTTAGACTGATGATACAAAATAATACAACACCGGAATTTTGGCTTCTGACCTTAACAACAAGGGTTTCAATACCTTACACAATTCAGTAGTTTATAATTGCCTATCAAAATGTAATTGTAAATAACCATAGTGCCATATCTGTATTTGAATATAGCAGATTTGGAGCATAAAAAATGTAATACTGATTAGAAATGCCAATTATTTCTACCACTTATGTTGAGATGTCCCCAAGATAGCTGTTTTTATGTCAGTACATTTGCTTTCTGAGTAATTGGGATGAATGAGTAATTAGACATATCCTCACAATAGCAATAAAGCATGGTACAGATTGCTCCATGTGAATCTCAGGGCTTGTGAAAGGCTGACTTCTCCAGAAAGTCATGGTTTAACATTATTGCTATATGTGTATTACTGTAGCATTTAGGAGCCTGGTCATGGATCAGGACCACAGCAATGTGCTAAGATACGTGTAATCTGCATATCTTTTCATTTAATCAAAAGTCTAAACACACAAATGGTGGCATATACATGAACTTGCATGTTGGAGTTCATTCAGCTGTCCCACCCACTTACCATTTCCATAATATGCTTGTTTGAGGTGTTTGACTTCTGCTGATGTTAGAGAATGAAAGTAGGCTAATTTAACAAACCATTAAAAATGAGAAATTTACACAAAATAGTAGATTTGCTTTCATTAAGGCCAAACATGCACAAAATAGTGTGTTCATGAAGACAGTAAGTATCCCATTGCATAATATTGTAAAAATGGTACCTGTAGTATCAGAAGCATGATTGCCAGCTGTCCATCTAGTGCTGTCACTGACAGTAGCCAGAACTGGATGCTTCAGAGGACGTTCAGAGGCTAAAACTTCCAAAAGTGGCCACTGATTTTGGATGCACACAGTTGTGAGCTGGAGCCAGTTTGCACCGGTTTGCTGGAACCGGTTGTTAAATTTAGAAGCCCTTGTAAAAGGGCTTCTAAATTAACAACTGACCAAAAGTGGCACCTTAGGTGCCGACTCTGTGGGTGTTCTGGGGCTGGAGCACCGGCAGCTCCCCGCCCCGCGCCCGGCCCTAGCTCACCTCTGCTTCGCCTCCTCCCCTGAATGCGCCGCCCCACTCTGGTTCACCTTGCCCCCCAGCAGGTTCCTCTGGCTCTTAGGGGCAGGGTGGGCACCCACTATAGTGGCCCACGAGACCCACCTGCCCAGTTCTGGAGGCAGTCAGGGGAGGGGGGTGGATGGGACGGGGTCCCGGGGGGGGGGCATCAAGGAACGTGGGGGGTTGGATGGGGCAAGAGTCCCGGGGGGCGGGGATGGGCCACGACCCCCTCGTGGGATGAGGAGGGAACTGGTTAAGTTTTTGGCAGCTCATCATTGGATGCGCAACTTGAGACACCTTGCACCTGGTTCAACTTTTACTGTTCACTGTAAGTAAAAATTAAAAGTGCATGTTTGCAGAATTGGGGCCATTGGTGCCTAAATCAGGCCTTTAAAGGCCCCAAATGTATATTTTGGTACCTAAACCAACGTGGCCTGATTTTCAAACATGCTGAGGATCTGCAGATACAAAAGGAAAACTATTAAAGTCAGTGGTGCTTTTCTAAATTATGTCTTGAATTAGCAATCTGTTTTGGATCCTGATGCTTGGGGCTGTTGCAAAATCTTCTACCAAAATGAATTCCAAGAGAGGTCCAGAAGGTCAAACCCAAATCCCTCAGACCTAGGATGACCAGACAGCAAGTGTGAAAAATCGGGACGGGGGCTTGGGGTAATAAGCGCAGAAATAGACAAAGCCCCAAATATCAGGACTGTCCCTATAAAATCGGGACATCTGGTCACTCTACTCAGACCTGTCTGCCCCTTTTATGTTAGGTTTCAGAGTAGCAGCTGCATTAGTCTGTATTCGCAAAAAGAAAAGGAGGACTTGGGGCACCTTAGAGACTAACAAATTTATTTGAGCATAAGCTTTCGTGAGCTACAGGTCACTTCATCGGATGCATTCAGTGGAAAATACAGGGGGAAGATTTCTCTATGCAAAGACCATGAAACAATGAGTGTTACCATACACACTGTAAGGAGAGTGATCAGGTAAGGTGAGCTATTACCAGCAGGGGTGGGGTGGGGGTGGTGGAAACCTTTTGTAGCGATAATCAAGGTGGGCCATTTCCAGCAGTTTTTGTGAACTGCTGGAAATGGCCCACCTTGATTATCGCTACAAAAGGTTCCCTCCCCCCCCGCCCCGCCCCGCCCCCTTGCTGGTAATAGCTCACCTTACCTGATCACTCTCCTTACAGTGTGTATCCCATGAACTGAGCTGTAGCTCACGAAAGCTTATGCTCAAATAAATTTGTTAGTCTCTGAGGTGCCACAAGTCCTCCTTTTCTGCCCTTTTATGTTAGTAAGGGCTATAATTACAGCAACAACATGTCAATCAAAGAAAAACCATGAAGCAACCACCTTGAAGCTGTTATCTCCCGTAGCTATTTCCACAGGACAGTCCAACGATCGCCTCCAGAGGCGGGACAATGCGAGAGTCAGTTTCAGAGCCGGGCTGAGGGAGGGCGCGTGTCCCCAGCTGGCGCCCCGCCCCTAGCCATTGCCCCACAAACGGGCACCGCCTCCAGAGGCTCAAGTTGAGGCAGCAGAACGCGAACCCTTTCGTTTTGTCCCTTCGCGCGTCCCGTACCGATGGCCTGGCAGAGCCCCGCCCCAGTGGCGGAGGATATATAAGGGAGTGTGCTGCGTGCTGGTCTTGAGCCGGCCGTGTGCAGCGACAGCACAGCCTGGGACTAGGAAGGAAGGAAGGAACATGGCGTCTACCAGCCGGTGAGTGGAGCGAGCGGCTTCGTGGTGGTGGTGGTGGCGGTGGCGGTGGCGGCGGCGGCTAGTAATAAAGTGTCTGACTGGAGCCCGGGCGCGGCGATTCCGGATTATTAGTTGGGGAGAGAAAATGGCTGCGTCTTCCCCCCCCCCCCCCCCAGGTTCAGCTCCTGGGACAGCAGTGCTGACGCGTCCCCCCGCCCCCAGCTGCCATCTCGGGTCTTGGTTCCTCCTCGTTAGTCCCGCTCCCTTCTCTCGCCTTGGCCCCCTTCACTTCTCCCCCACCCGGCCCCCTCCCCTCCCCTCCGTCCCTGCGGGGGCGAGGGGGGCCGGCCTTCTTCAACCGCTCCCTTTCCCTTTTGTGCGGGTTGGGCTTTGACCTTCCTCTCGCTTTGGTGCCCCGTCTCCGTTCCCTGCCCCATTCCCTGTGGTCCTTCCATATCTGGTTTCTACTTTTAGTGCCCCCCCCATCCCTAACTCCTTGTAGCAGCGATGAGAGTTTGGCCAGAAAGGCTCAGGGTTTGATCTCGGGTCACCTGTGAGTAATATGCAGCTTGGCCAGGGTGCCTGGTTTTGCCTGAATGCTAGTTTCAAACGTTTTTGTAAACCTCGGAGTTCGTAAGTGATGTGGTGACATGTAGGCTAGTGACGGGATCATCTGCTGCTGCTACCAACTCGTAAATATTGAAATAGGAAGCCTGAGATCTCCAGCACAGGGGTTCTCAAACTTCATTGCACTGCGGCTACCTTCTGACAACACAAATTACTACATGACCCCAGGAGGGGACACTGGCTGAGCCTGCTGAGTCCTGTAAGCCCGAGCCTGAGCCCTACCACCCTGGGGAGGGTTACAAAAAATCAAAGCCCAATCTGCCTCTCTCCCCTCAGGTGTTCAGAGGAAGGGGAAGGTGTATGTGTGTCTCTCTGCTGGGCACAGTGGTGTTGACACTGACCTGCAGGCTGGGTAGCCTGTAGAGGTGAGTCAAGGGTGGAGGTGGTGCTCCCTCCCTTGCCCCACCTGTTCCTCTGGGTGCACCTACTCCAGTTTGAAAACCTCTGCTTTATAGTATTTTTTTAAAATTTTAATTTACATCCTTGATTGTTTGAGTAAAGATGCATTCTGGTCCGAAACCAAGGTCTGCTAGAAACTGGGTAGTCTGTTACCCCCTTTGTTGCTGTATAAAACTCTTTGTGCAGGTTAAATCAGGCCATATTTTAACATAAATGGAAGAGTTGCCACAATATGTCTGGTTTCAGAGTAACAGCCGTGTTAGTCTGTATTCGCAAAAAGAAAAGGAGTACTTGTAGCACCTTAGAGACTAACCAATTTATTTGAGCATGAGCTTTCGTGAGCTACAGCTCACTTCAAAGTGAGCTGTAGCTCACGAAAGCTCATGCTCAAATAAATTGGTTAGTCTCTAAGGTGCTACAAGTACTCCTTTTCTTTTCACAATATGTCTGGATGCATATTCTTTTTCTTCTAAATGTTCCTATTAAAAAGCCCCTTTCAAACTTTGCAGGGCCTACTATAGAAAGATTTTTATGGTCCCCTTCAGTTTTTTGGGAGAAAAAGGAAGTAGTTTTTCACACAGTGCCTTGTGGAACTCATTCCCAGGGGATATGGTGAAGGCAACAAGTATAACTGAGTTCAAAAAAGAATTGGATAGCCATTAGTGGACCTATTCTCCATTAAGTTATTAGGCAAGAAGGTCAGGGATGTAACCCAATGCTCTGGGTGTCCCTGAATCTCAAACTGCCAGAAGCTGGACCTGGACAATGGGATGGATCATTTGCTAATTTTCCTGTTCTATTAATTCCCTCTGAAGTATCTGGCACTGGCCACTGTCTTGAAGATGGGATACTGGGCTAAATTGACCATTGGTCTGACCCAGTATGGCTGTTCTTATGTTAAAAGCTCTTCTATTTCACACCCCATAAAATTTGTTAGACAACATTCCATTATCCCCAGTTTTCCTAATCGCCATGATCATGTGGTATAGGTAGGTCCCTTTTTTTGGCCTGCATTAGCAGCACTGAAAACTAATTACTCTTTGGGTTCCTGTCACAGTTTTCCCTTTTGGACATTAATCAGTTAGTGATTGAATGGTCCCAGTGCCTGAACTATCCTTTATGGGTGAAGAAAGTGTTCTTTCAAATTAGGGCTAAAAGGTACTGTGATGGGACAGTAGAGCGAATCTACTTCCCCTTCTGTATCTGCTCTAGGTTTAGTGAACATTTTCCAGTGTTATCACAACTTCTAGTAGCCGTGAAATAAATGCACACTTTAATAAATATAATGGCCATGAATTTTATTGAAATATTTCAGTGTACAGACGTATAAACTAAGGGGGAATAATGTAAATATCCAGAGAAATGGGCAGACTTTATATACACTGATACGCTGCTGATACTGTCAGAGGCCTCTGTTCTGCTTTGTGGATCTGGATTTAGTTCACTTTTTTATTTAATATGCAGTCAGCCGTGTGAACTTGGGATGCCTATTTAAATGCTCCATATGGCAGAAAGTTGTTGCGTATGGACCAGCATCACTTTTGTGAGTTCTCTGAAATTGTTTCTTCATAGCTTTTTTTTAAATGTGATGCAGCTGGAATCCGTTGAATATATGCAATAAAATTTACTTATTTTAGTTCTTCTTAGTATGTGCTTCTGTGAATCGCTGCTGCTTTATCTTACTAAAATTGTTTAATGTAAAGATTTCCCGACCTAGCAAGTTATGTTTTAATTTTATATTTTAATCTGGCTAAAACTGTGGAGGTTTTTTTTAGATTTACTGATCAAGTTGATAAATTGTTGGTACTGTAAGATGGTGGTTTTCTAAAATAGTAAAGAATGTACTGCTCACTAAAGGAATAGCCTAATTAGATTTAAAAGAAATGGCTAGCTAAATGCAGGAGGGAATATTTAGAATGACATGGTCATCACTAACTTCTGGTAGGCATTGACTTAGCAGGAATGGATTTTCAGGTAGTCTAGTAATTTACTATATATATATATTTTTTTTTATTAGAGCACTTCACTCAAAGGAGGTAGCCTTGAGGATTTTAAATGGCAAGATGTTTCAGAGTTCTAATCTCCATAAATCCTGGGTTACCAAATTTATTGTTCTCTGCAGAAATCTCATGTGGTGCTCCTAATGTATTGCTCCACACAAACAATTTGCATGTTTGTAAATTACTCTGCTCATTTGTGCTGTCTGTTAAAAACAGCATTAAGGGCATGTGGCTTGAAGTTTTCTTCCATATTGTAGTTTAAATTGCTTTCCTCTAACTTGAAATCTTTTTCTGGAAATGAACTTTTGTTTGTTTGAAATATTTTGAATGCTGTGTTCAATCTTTTTCTTTTAGTTTGGATGTGCTTCCCAGAGTGACGTGTCCAAATCATCCAGATTCCATTTTAGTGGAGGATTACAGAGCCGGAGACATGATCTGTCCTGAATGTGGACTAGTAGTGGGTAAGTAGTTATTCAAGTTGTTGTGACTCACTCTAAAAATGGAGATCAACTATCTGAAGTAATTTGCTTTTTCTCATGGTTGGTGTGTGTGAGAAATTAGTGTATTTTAAGCCTTTTACTTAGCACTAAATAGATATTTTCCCTTTTCTAAAAAGAATCTACCATTTTGAAGAGGCAGTCTTCTGATAATTACTGGCACTTTTAAATAAATGAGCTGTATAAAGTTCCATAGTTTTGTAGCAGATACCCACATTATGGAGAATATAATTGACCATTGCTGCTTGATGGAAGTCAAGCTGATGGCCTTTACACCACTGACTTTCCAAATTCAGGGGGAAAATGGGGTTCTTGGACTACAAATAGCTATTTTAAATATCTCATTTGTCTCAAAATTCAGTTATGTCTCAAAGATATAGTGATAGATATTGGAAAAGGGTTGATCTTTGCAGTGTTAGAGGCATCTGTTTCATTTAAAGCTGGGATGCTTCCTATAACGTGGACAAATGTGAAGATTTTACTGTATTACAGTTCATGACCATTACAAGGGTGACACATGTAAATTGGGGTACATATTTAAACGTGATATAAAATTAAGCATGAAAACTCGGATTTCAAATGTGATCACCAGCTAGTTAAAAGAATTAACAAAAAGGATTAGATTAATGTATTGTTTTCAAAATACTTGGAAATGTCAGTACATAGGAATGCAGTAATTGCTGTGTTGGATCAGACCAGTGTGTCACCTAGTTCAGTATCATGTCTCTGGTAGTGACCAGTACCACTTCTTTCAGAGGAAAGGGCAAGAAACCTTGAAGGTAGTTATGGAATAACCTGCTCATAAGAAGTTTCTTGCTGGTTCCCATTTAGGTTGGCTTCTGCTCTGAAAGAGGCTTTATATCCCTTCCAAAACTTAATTTTTAAATTCCCCCGGGTTCTAACTTTGGGCATTTGTTTGGATAAGAATAACCAGTCTTTTTTTAATCCTGTGAAGTGCTTTGCCTCAGTGATATTTTGTGACAGAAATTTTCACAAGCTAATATTTTACGATGTATAAAAGTGTTTTTTTTATCAGTTTTAAATGTATCATCAGTCACTTTCATTGAATTATTTTGTATGTGAATAGAAATGTTCTGGATATATCTTGTTTTTCATTCATTACCCTAGACATTTTTATGATGTCCCTTCTTATACCTCTCTTCCGTAAGGTACCATTCTTTTCCATCTCTCTTCATATGAGTTTTTTCCATGCCTTTAATCATTCTCTTAGCCTGTTTCTGAACCCCCTGTATTTCAGTTACATCCTTCTTGAGAAAGAGTGACCAGAAGAACACTATTCCAAGAGAGGGTGTACAACTGACATACAGTGGCATTCAATTCTCTATATTCTGATCCCATTCTTTTAGCATTATAACATTATTTTTTTGACTGCTGTCACACACTGAGTTAAACATCTTCATTAATAATGCCAAAGTCTCTATCCAGAATTACAACTAAATCAGAAATAATGCTTTAAGGGAAGTGTTGTAAACAGGACCTATTATACGCTCTTCTAATGAAAAGCAAACTGGTTTTAATTCTTTATTAAATTACTGTGGAAATTCTCTAAGTCCACTATATATTAACTGATCTACACACCCTTTTAAAACATATTTAATGCCTCCATGCCCAAATAAACAGTGTCATTTTAATTAAATGGGTCTAGTTTAAGTGTCGTTAATTCTGAAGGTTTGGATGTAATCTTAGCTAACTTGATGTTGAACACCTAATATTCCTTTTTTGAAATATGCCATTTGTGAATTTATATACGAGGTTGAATAATGTATGAACCAGGCTGAAGCTGCTGTTTCTTGGATTATTCTAGGCAAAGTCACAAAATACTATCTTAGTAGTGTAACCTTATTTATAGGTTGGTGGCAGCCATCTTATGTCTGCCTGTAGAAAAAGGATGAGTGCAGCTGATGTACAGTTTCACAAATAAAAGTGCGCCAACTGTAAGCTTCAAATTTGTCAGAAGTAAATATTGGAAGCCCATTTTTTGGATTTGCCCTCTTGTTTCCCATTAGTGAGATGTTTGCTTTTGGGATTCAGTTTGGCCTGCTTTCATTTTAAATTAACAGCTTTGATGTTTTCTTTGTAATTCTAAAGTTGAGGGTTCTCAAACTGCATTGCACCATGGCCCCCTTCTGACAACAAAAATTACTTCATAATCCCAGGAGGGGGGACCAAAGCCTGAGCCCCACTGCTCTGGGGGCCAAATCTGAAGCTCAAGGGTTTCAGCCCCAGGCATGGGGCCTGCAACCTGAGTCCTGCTACCCAGGGCTGAAACCCTTGGGCTTTGGCTTCAGCCCTGGGTAGTGGGGCTCAGGCTTCAGCCCTGGACCCCAGCAAGTCTAAGCCAGTTCCGGTGACCCCATTCAGAGGAGGTTGTGACCCATTTTGGGGTCCTGACCCACAGGTTTGAAAACTGCTGTTCTAAAGCAACAAGAATTTTTCATGGGCAGGGATTTAACAAAATACTGTGTTAGCACAGGGGTTCTCAGCCTTTTTCTTTCTGAGGACCCCCGTCTTCCCCCAACCTGCTATAAAAACTCCATGGTCTACCTGTGTCCAGTAAGTGGTTTTCTGCATATAAAAGCCTGGGTTAAGGGGTATTAAGCAGGGCAATTGTCCAGGGCCCCATGCTACAGGGAGCACAGTGAACTTAAGCTCAGGCTTTTGCTTCAGCCCCAGGTGATGGGGCTCAGGGCCCCAGGCTTTAGCCCCGTGCAGTGGGACTCCAGCTTTCTGCCCTGGGCCCCAGCAAGTCTAACACTGGTCCTGCGTGGCGGACCTCTGAAACCTGCTCGTGGTTCCGCAGGGGGCCCCAGACCCTGGTTGAGAAACACTGTTAACACAAGCTTGACTTCTGGCTGAGTCATATTGTGGAGTGGTTCAGAGGGCTTCTGGCAATCACAAAATGAACTTAAATCCTCTGGGCTCCTGTTATTGGGAAAACATTGCCTTTTTCTTCACAAGCTTTCAACAGTATTGAGGTGTGGGGTTTTTTTTGTATGGATTCAGTGTTAAAAGGAACTAGTATTTACATTTATTGTGCGAATTAGTGCACTTAATTTTTCTTCTTTGGACTTCCCTTTTTAGCAGTTCAGTTTTCCTGCCTGTGTTGAAGTCTTTACTTTGGGTTTATATCAGTTTGCTTGGAAAATTAAGTGTGTGTTAATTAAATGGAAGTAAGAGATAACTAAACGACCAGTGAATGCATCCGATGAAGTGAGCTGTAGCTCACGAAGGCTTATGCTCAAATAAATTTGTTAGTCTCTAAGGTGCCACAAGTCCTCCTTTTCTTTTTGCGAATACAGACTAACACGGCTGCTACGCTGAAACCTAAACAAACTGGAGAGATCACCAAACAGGAGAAATAGTGTGAACATTTATCATAACTTCCCTTTTACTAGTCTCTAAAGGAATTTAAGTGAAGTACAAGGGTAGCAAACTGATAAATAAACTCAAATCTTGGTTCCTGTACTTATCAAGTATGCAGAGCCTGTAAGCTTTAAAAGTGTGGAGCCAAAATCTTCCATTCAGGTCACAGAGGTGCTCTGTGTCTGCTGCTGTAGACTTAAGGATGAAATAACCCCCACAAGACATGCAGTCACTCTATATGAGAAGAAGTTGTTGGGCCTGCTATTAGAGCCACAAAGTCATGATTTACAGTTCAGCCTCACCAAACCAATGTAGATTAAGACCAATATGGAGCACTGCTGAATGGTGAGCAATCTTTTTTGGTTTCTTATCCCATGTACAGCAGAAATGGTAATTTCAGTTGCCAATTGTACATGCATGTGCATGTACAAGTGCAGTCTGAGGACTGGTAAGAATTTCTTAGAGTAGTAGATCAGTAAAGTAAATAAGCTGGTCTTTGTAAGCCACCTGCAAGAAAAAGTGATGAATTCAGTTTAAAACACCACCATTTCTATACTTCACAATTGTAGTTTGGCACAAAGGCAAAAATCTGGTTCTGTGCATAGGTATATAATAAAATACATTGATGTATAATTTGCTTTTTGGAAAGATGACACACCAGGCAATGCAATAAAAAACAAATTGGTAATGAAATCCTTTTTGAGTGAATGTCAAATTGCCATTTTTCTTAACTCTCTACTTTGGCTGTTAGGAGTGTCAGGTATTGGTCAAAAGGTGTATTTTTGTTTAGTTACAGAACAACAGTTGGCCTGGAATAAAATACCTGAAAAGTCTGACTTCCTTGATTTTTTTTTGTTTGGTTTTTTTTTTGGGTTGGTCAGCTTCTTTCTTGTGTAGCTTGGACAAAATCAGTACTGTAATTCAGGTGAGACAGTGTATATCCTCATAGCCTCTGGCTGAGCAGGAAGGAGAGAGGAAAAGGAAATGTGGAGGGAGGAATGGGGGGAGTTGGGAAAGCTGGAGAAATGCACATCACTTATTCTTCACACCATTATTTTTGCCTTTTGAGTACTGCAGGAAGTGCATATATCCCTTTTTTCCTAGAAGGTAATTAAGAAATGTTGGTAGTGATTTGACTGACAGTGTTCTGTGTCACTACTTGAAACACTGTTTCAGTCTGTGGGAAACTGCTGTTGGAGATGCTGCCTTTTCAATGGGATTTTAAACAGATCTTGACTAATTTTGGATGCTAAGGATTCTTTTGAACCACTTGTAAAAGCTGAGGTTTTGCCTTAGTGTCCTGGTAAAATTCAGTTTGATTAAATTCAGTCTACTTACAGTCCCATTTTCATTGCACAATAGTTGTCACTTTGTGTCCTAAAAGTTGTGTAGTTTTGGTATGCATTGTTAAAACAGGTTGCACACACTTTATAGTAATTTGTAGTGAATGAAGATCTTACAGCTTGAAAGTGGTGTTACGTTAATTTATTCAAGCAAGGACTCCCCTTCAGCTCTTCACTACCCTTCCTTTTACTTTGGACCTCTACTGCTCTTTCCTTTCCTTGCTGCTCAGGAACTGT